GGGCAAGAAAAAGGAAAAAGTGAGGATTCTCCCCCCGGTACAACCAACGGGATCATGGCCGCCTATCATATTTTGAAGCGCCTGATGTTAGCCCTAAAAAATTTGACGGCTTTAATTCCGAAACGCCAACAACCATTCACGTTTTTGGAGGAGCGCCCAGAGGAAGTGGGGGAGGAGGTAGAGTTTTTAGACAAATTAAGGTTAATTTAATGCCTTAACCCTAAGATATTCCGAAAGAATCGTTGCTTGATTGCCTTGGTTTTGGCTAGACAATCGTCATTTTTGGGTTTTGCGTTTTCTGTAACGTTTTTTCCTAAGTTGGTTGAATAGTCGTAATTAACGAATTTGGAGAGTGCGACAGATATGCAGAGAAAGAGAGAGAGAGAGAGAGAGAGAGAGAGAGAGCTGCGAAATACCGGAAAGAAACAAATATACCAGAAGCAATTCTTCTGCTATCATATCCACAGCTCTCGCTCTCCTTCTCTCTCTCTCTCTCTCTAACCACTCTCTCATTCTCTCTCTCGCTCTCCCGTCCGTTTGCTGTCAGTCTCAGCGAAAAACAAGCAGTTATTTTTCAGAGCTTTTTCCAAGTAAGAAAATCTGCAGCTATTTTTTTCTCGAAACGCAGAAGAAAGTCTTTTGGAGCCCCCTGCATTCCCTATTCTACCTAAGAACGTGACTTGGTTCCTTGTCTAAGGGTCCTTGAATAGGGAAGCATGCTTTCGTTAGGCTTGTGGTTTTCGCTTATTTCTTTTTGCCTCTGTTCTTTTAAGAATTTTCATGCCATCTTACATTCTTTTTCGCGCAAGAATAGATTTTTTTTTAATAACATAGCCGTATGCTGTTTTTAACCCTTCCTAAAAAATCAACTATTTTTGGCTAAAAATGGCCTCCGGATTTTCAACTTTTTTTCAAACATTTCTTTGATATTAAAAACGAAATAAAACTAATTTTCGCTTAAAAGATAGCTGAAACGTAGGAAAAATAATATTAAAAAAATTAGATTCGTTCATTAGGTGATTCCAGTGATTTTTTGTGCCAAACTCAAGCCAGTAGTGATTTTCTGGATTCAGGGCAGTGATTTTGTGGTGACTAAAGGTAGTCGAGCAGCATTTCCTAACGGAAAAGGTAACTTAAAAGTGATTCTTTGCTCCAAGGCAAGCTAGCAGAGATTAACGATCTAGGCTAGCTAGCAGCAATACGTTGTACCCTGATCTCGTCCTCTTGACCGAATAATGCTCTCCAGCCTCATTCTCCCAAAAAAAGTGCTTCCCATTGTCCCCTTCCAACAATGGCAAAGTTCCAAACCCGGGGGCCCCCGCTTTCATTTCGAGTGTTTTATTTTGGCCGCCTCGGGGAGGAAGTGTGTGGCCAAATAAAGTGGCGACTGGGGGCCAATTGGGCCTTCTGGAGGGCACCTCCAATCCCACCACCACCCATTCAAATTGCCCAATAAAGCACCAGAGAATTTGGACTGGCGAGACTGGGTGTGGGTGTCTCCACGCCGCGCGGGAATGGGATGAGCCACACGCCATTCAACCTTCCACCCGCCGGCGATTTGAGTGGAGCCGGAAGTTGGAGCAAAAGATATTCTGGAGCTATTGAGCTGATTCTGATCCTTGCCGAGCCACTTCTGAGCACGCACTTTTGAATCCTACCTGCGGCTAGAGTCGAAATTCTGATTCCTACTTTGACGATTCGCGAATTTTCCACTTTCAAAAATTCGATTGGAGCCCGAAGTTGGAGCAAGAGATATTCTGAATTCATGAGCTAATTCTGCTAATTGAGCGCCAGATTCCGAAAAACTAACTTGTTAATCGACCAAGCTGGAGTCGCCTGCGATTCGAGTGACGCACGAAGTTGAGCAAGAGCTAGACGGAAGCTATTAAGCTTCACAACACTTGAAATCCGCTGTTCAAGGCTTTAGTAAAACACGTGCTCATCTAAAAACCCGAAAAGCTCAGACTCAACAAAATGAGCATCAGAATCATTGGCAATCTGCTGTCCTTGCCGGCCAGGGACTATATGGCGGTGGGTAAAGCGTAAAAATCGATCGATTTGGCTTATAGAAAAACCAAAAAAAAATAATAAACTATAAAAATTCAGGAAATTATATGACTTACGTATAAAATTTTCACTTCTAAGAAAGTTTCTTCTTTCCAGATCCGCCGCTCATCCTCCCTGCAATTCCCGCCGGACACCGAGAACAATTGTGTAAAGTTGCCCAACTCGCCGACACAGGTAAGTAAGCGGCTAAAAACGAACCATTAAAACCAAATTGTAGATTGATCTACTCAACACGAAAACGGCCACCATCTCCAGCTCGTTGTACACGTTGACGCAAATCTCGGAAAGCGCCAGCGCCATCAACCTGTACACGATCATGGCGAGGTGAGGGTCTGAAAATTATACTTTTACCTGACTTCAGATGAATTAACATCTCAATGAATTCTTGTTATTTTATTTCATTAGGGCTTAAAAATTATACTTTTGACATTAATTTTAATTTCATTTTAACGCCTGAAAAAATCATTAACTAATGATCTAAAAAGCCCTTACAACATATCTTTGAAAAACTCCCTTAAAATGATTAATAAACTACTCAACTAACCATATAAACAATATGAAAACATAGCATTAATCAGGTTAACAATCTTACCATTCAGATATCGGTGCTGTTTCGGCTTTTGCCGGCTTCGAGTCGGCGGTTGCGTCGTAGGTGGACTGGCGATCGGCCTATCGATTTTTAGTAAGTTTTAGTTTATAAAGTTAATTTTATAAAACTTTTACTGAATTTTATTACCTTGAAAATAACCTATCATTTTCAGCCCTCTGCGTGATCCTCTCACTTTCCCATCAACTTTCCAAGGGTCTGCAGGATATTTTTATCCTGCCGATTGTATGCACTTCTTTGTATCAGGTTTGTTAATCAATCGCTTGATTAAAGGCGTTAACCGTTCTAAAGAGCAATTTAAAACCATTATTAAATTAATTTAAAAACCTCGATCTCTAGATAGCCTCTGCAATGAGCTTGATCGTCGGAATTCTCATCGAAAACCACCTTCTCATCCTACCCTTTATCGCCAATGTCGTCATCCAAATCCTGCTGCACATGGCGCTGACGATCATTTTCTTGATTTCTTCGAATCATTCGGAGGTTTGTGGTTCTTCATCTAAAAAAAGCTTGCAATAGCCCTAAGTCGTCTAAATTCTCAAACCAATATTTTAAAAACTAAATAATTTTTAGAGCATCGTTTTCCCGATCCTGGCCTTTTCCACGATATTCATCGTGGCCATCTACGTATGGTTCATGGCGCTGACGGCGATGACCTTCGTGCTGATTCGGGATAAGAAGCGGTTCAAGTACGTAAAATCACGAAGATTATGGAAAGAATTCCGTATTCATTATGGAAAAAGCTCACTACAATACCCGGATACCAAGGACAAATGTGATTAAGGACCTAGGGATCACTTACAATCAGAAATTTAACTTTGAATCGCATATCGCCGCTATCCGATTAAAAGCCGCTCGTATATCCTTCCTTCTTATCAAAAGAATTCAAATTCCAAATGCGATCACGTACCGGCGTGCTTTCAGTACTTTAGTTAGGCCGATTTTGGAGTACGCTTCCGAGATTTGGAACCCAACCAAAAAGCGCAACATCAATGAACTTGAAAGTGTCCAACGTAAATTTACTTTCTTTGCCTATAAGAAATTGTTCCCAAATGAGCCTATGCCCTGTTACCCAGATCGACTAAAATTCTTTTCACTTCCCACTCTAGCGCACCGTAGAACAGAAGCGGATTTAGTTACATTTTATAAGTCTTTTTTTGTAGAAACCTTTCCGTTCAAATTTTTGGAATGCACAAATCGTCCGGTAAGGAATGCCCATGCTTTTCAAGTGAAGAGAATCCATAGTAAACAAGGTTTCCCCCCGTTCTTTCTTCTCGCGTAGAGTTGCGAAAACCTGGAATAAGCTCCCGCCTAGGGTCTTCAAAGAAGGTCAATTGGGAAATGCAAAGAGCTTTCGTGTAACTTTAGAAAAAATGGACCTGTCCCAATTTCTGTGATCTTTTTTTTTTCTCTCCCCCGTTTGTTTTCGCATGTTATACAACCTCTGAACCATTGGCACCTACATCGCCCACTCCCCACTCTTATTCAACTACTGAATAAAGTATATATATACTTTTTCAAAAATTTTCTAATAGCTTTTTAGCAATCAGAAATTGCAGAAAAAAACTATAAAATCAGCCTACCTTTTATTAGAATAGATTTTAAGGTTTTTATTAGTTTTTATTACAAACCACAACCGCCTTATCTAGGTGGGAACTCGACGAGGGCCTCCAGAACGTGCAGCAACGCCCTATGGACCGCGTCAGCAGCTCCTACTTCTAGAAAAAAATCACAACCTTGTTTCGAAAATTTCTTACTTTCACGACGGGTCTGTAAAAACCATTCCGGAACTCCACCACCCATATGCAACATCTCATCCCACTATTACCGGTGCCTTTGCAACACAAAAAAAAAATTCGGCGCTACCAGCGAATAAACATTTTAGCGGAAACCGCAAATTCGTCCATAGATAACGCACCACGATTTCAACACAAAATTTATCTGGGAGATCAAGAAATGAGTGGTCAATAGACGCCATATATATTTTTTTTGTACATGCAACAAGCAACATACAACAAATTTCCTAACGAGCGGTAACGTGCCCCCCTACAAAAGCGACACAACGATATATGGGAGGGGGGCAAGCAAAAGAGTAAGATACACGGGGCCGTGCCATTTCCGCAACCTACAAAAATTTTGAACGCTAATAATTTTTTCAAACCAACAATTTTTAATCAAGAAAATCTTCAAAAATAGCGATTTGAAACTTAAAAATTTCCAAAAATCAACAATTTTTAACTTTCCAAAATTTTGTCTGCTGAAATGGCACGGCCCCAAATACAAAAAAATCAAATAATACAAAAATGCTATTCGAGCCTGGGCTTTAGGTGGCGGCGATGTCGACAAGTTCCTTGAGAAGTCCCGCGACAACCTTTCCGGCTGCTTCGCGCTGTTTCTTCGCCTTTGGCAGGGAAGTGGTGGGCACCTAAAATTGGAATAATTAATTTAATAGTAAAAATCTACCTCCTGGGAATTGTTCATGCAAACAGCGCCATCTTCACGAGGTCCGCTCGCCACGGTCTCCACGTCGACCACCACCTCCGCGTCGTAAACCACCTGCTCGTCGGCGTACATCTAAAACAATGGAAGAGTACTTGTCTGTTATCGGGGGGAAACCGTTCTACCAAGGATCCAATTTTTCTACCGTCAAAAGAAGAAGTCCTTGTACCCTGTTTTTACAAATTCGAAGAGCTAAAACTTTACAAAACAAAAAAAACAAATATAGATTTTTCGGGCTCATATCATTGATTGCCATCTCAAATCCATATTTCGAAGACATTTCAGTTTTCTAGATCGTTCCCCCTCCCCAGAAATATAGTTAATTTATTTTTCAAGACTAAAATTGCCGACCTAGCTAGGTCTATCTAACAGGCAAAAATTTGATCCCCCGATAATGCGAAAAAACTCAATGAAAAAACGAATTTTCCCCAAATGTACCTGTGGCTGCTCAGCAGACGGCGGGGGGGCCCTCTGGAGCCAGGGCTCAGGCTGCTCGACTTCCTCGACAGTCTCCAAAAATTGGCCGTTGCGGTTCCAGCGCAGCGGGGGAAGCTGCGTCGAGGTGGAGGGGAGATCGGCCAAGAAGCTGCTCAGCGACTCGGACGACGGCGAGGGCGTCGGGAAGTTGAGGAACTGCGTGACCTTGCAGAATCTGCAAAAAAGCAATCGATTACTGTATTCTCCACGACGAATCGAAATCCCTAATTTTTTAACAAAATAGCATGAACAATTTTTCGAGTTTTAAATTTTCTAAAACGATTCAAAATGTTGGGCAAATGGAACAGATTTACGCCAAGTTTTGCACGCAAAAGCAAGGGCCAATATTAAAGATCACTACAGTACTCAAAAAGTGTCTGACCCGGGATCCGGTGCCGGCACGTATATGGCGCGTCGACTGGAGCACGGCTGGTAGTTGTTCTGGCTGTCCGTCTTCGAGGTGTTGGGCAGGCTGGAGAGGGACGACCCGGAAGTGCTTGGCATCGAGGCCAGCGAGCGCTGCTCCTCAATGATCAGATTCTAAAACGGAATAAAATTTGCAAAAACTGAGTACCATGGCATCATCTAGCGGGAGTTGGCGCGGCATGTCAGGGGTCGAGCGGGCCATCGGAACTTTGCACTAAAAAGGAGCAATGGACGCTGAAGAGCTATTACCTTGATATTATTGTAGTCGCGGACACGTTCCATCAAATCGCCGACGTACTGGTCGATGCGCAGGTAGCCGTCAGTGGAGAGGTAGCGCTCGCGTAGGACCCTGGAAAGAAAATTTAGAAGCGCTAAAAAAAAATTATGCGAAGTTAACAATTTCTTCTTTAGAACCAACTTTTTCAGTACAACTCAGTTTTTCGGCTATAAAAAAGAAAACAAATATTTTTATACCAGATGGTTACAGTCGCTTCGCGACTGCAACCATCTGGCCTTCGGGCTACCCTACATGTCCCACTCCACCACATCCTTTCCCACCTCCATCAATACCCCCCATGGCTGAATTCCCCTTCAAAAACTACCTAAATACCTTTCTGATGGCTTCAGATACCCCCCATGGCTGAATTCCCCTTCAAAAACTACCTAAATACCTTTCTGATGGCTTCAGATACCCCCATGGCTGAAATCCCCTTCAAAAACTACCTAAATACCTTTCTGATGGCTTCAGATACCCCCCATGGCTGAAATCCCCTTCAAAAACTACCTAAATACCTTTCTGATGGCTTCAGATACCCCCCATGGCTGAAATCCCCTTCAAAAACTACCTAAATACCTTTCTGATGGCTTCAGATACCCCCCATGGCTGAAATCCCCTTCAAAAACTACCTAAATACCTTTCTGATGGCTTCAGATACCCCCCATGGCTGAAATCCCCTTAAAAAACAAAAATAACGACCGACCGGATGGAATGAGATAAAAAAAAGAAATGAATTCCCCCCGTGAAAATTTTCATCCACGAAACGCGCGCGACCTGGCTCACTATGTCCAAAATCACCCCAACCTCCGTCCCCGACCCCTTTTACTAAGGAAAAAACTTTCAAAGTTAATTTTAATAATTTAAACTAAAAGTTTTTCATAATTTTTTTATCAGTTTGGGGGTTTCTGACCACGCTCTATCCGAATCCGAAGAGAGCTAAGCTCTAGCTCCTTTCCCCTTCGAGTTGAATTCGGCTTCAGACAGACGGACGGACAGACGGAGACCACAGCAAAATTATTATAGTTGATAACTCATGCGACCAAATCTCCAAATTGTCATTTTTTTGAAAGTTTTTTTAGATTCTTCCCGTTAAATTAGTAAAAAACAAGTAAAAAGCGTATAGATAAAACCTTCACCAAAAATATTTTTACGTAAAGAGAAGCAAAAACCCCAAAATTCCAAATAACACCCAACCTCACGGCAAAGTCCAGTGTCGGGTTGCTGTGGGCGGTGAGCGGGTTTCGGCTGAGCGGCGACCAGCGCGCCAAGAAGCTCGGCTCGAGCAGCTTGTCCAGGTGGACGGCAAGCTAAAAACAGAAATTTTTAGCGACTATTAAGTGCTCACCGCCCAGTGCTGCATCTCGTTGATCCCGACAAACAGCTCGTTTAGCGTTTGCTGAAAGACACGTTGGTCCTGGAGGCGTAGCAGGCGGCGCAGCGTCAGCAGCACGGTCAGCCGGTCGAGGCTGTTGTCGACGAGCGCTTGTAGATCATTGGCCCAGTCGAGCAGCAGGGACCACTCGGAGAGCTGCAGATCAAAGGTGCCGTTTTCCTGAAAAAAAAATAGTGTTCAATATCCAAGAAGGTCAAACCCGTTGGAAGCGGGCAAAGTGTTGCGTGATCAGTGCCGGGTAATCGTTGGAGAGCGGCGTGACGAACGTCTGGAGATGGCCGACGGTACTGAAATTCAGAGGCAAATAATTTTCGTTTTCGACCTGTTTAATTGTGTCAAGAAAAAGATTTTTTGATTACCCGCAAAAATGCTGTTTAGACTAGAACTTTTAACTTTTAAATCTCTGTATTTTGTCCAGAAAAATTGACCGTATCCGAGAAAATCGCATTTTCGGCGATTATTGAATCGAAAAATTATCGCCTAAAAACGACGAATTGCAAGCACAATAAATTACCACCCACATTGAGCTCAACTTCTCGAAGAGCGGCGTCTTGTCCGGCGAGTTGCTGACGTAAAAAGCGGCGACGCGGACGCGGTCGCCCGTGGCGAACACGAGGGCCAGCGTGACGACGTACGGGCGACCGTCGATGCAAATTGGCATCTAAACTCAAGTTTTGAATTTAGCTGATAAAAGATAAAAAAGGGGAGGAAAAACGGACCTCATCAAAGCAGACGCCTTTCGACGAGTATTTTCGCCACCACCTGGCCATTCTCGTGTCCGAGAAGCCAAATCCAAAGTAGCCCTCGTTCGGCGAGACGTAGCCGAACACGGAACCCGGCGGGTATAGCTAGAAAAAACATTTTCGCGAAAAACCAACGAATACCGTAGGGTCTGAGAAGCGGCGCGACAGCGATTGGAGTTCATCGGTGGCCAAGATGTGCTTGAAGGGTTCTTCCGGGTTCAGGCGCCTCACCGGCTGATATTCCTCGGGCGACGGGCCTTCGAGCACTGGAAAATTTTATAAAAATCGTACGCAGAAAACATAAAATAAAAATAGTTGTTAAAAAACTGTACCTTGTAGGCGAGCCAGTATACGCTTCAGCGCGTTCACGTCATCCAAGTCTCGTAGATAGGTGTTTTCCTCCACGCATAGGCGCTCCAGTGAGGACAATCTGAAACAAAAACATGTAAAAAATAAAATCAGCAAGGGGAGAAAATAGAACGACCGTTTTTACACTGTTTTTACTATTCCCATATTCTCACTACGCAAAAAAAGACCAAAAACAAATCGATTTTTCGAATAAAAAACTTAAAATTTTCCAGCTTTGTATAATTTTTTTTTGAGCTTTAAATCCCCAACTTGGAAAAACTCCATGCTAATAATTGCCACTGAATTACTAAGCGTTTCTTAATTTATAAAAAACGATATCTCCATTTCCGATTTTCGAAAAAAAAAATTAAAATCTACAATACCATACCGAAGTAGACTGGTGCCGAGGCGATGGCCCGTGTGCTCCAAGCAGCCGTGAGCAGTCAGATGGCCGTCATCAAAATGCACTACCTAAATCCAGGAATTAAAAAAATCACAATTTTGTAAAATACCCGCAGGAAGACGCAGCACAGGGTCGGCCTCTCCGCGAGATCGACGCGGAAGTTCTTCGGCCTGTAGGCGGTGGGCTTGGCGCGCATGTATGGCCCCTCCGGGGTACACACCTCCGAGTGGGAGCAGTAGACGTAGAGGATCTAAAAAAATCGCCTTTTTAGCATTTGGGATCCGAAATCCACTTTTTCTATACTAATTTCAGGCTTTAAAAACTTTTCTACGCTTTTTTGCAGTTTTAGGATCTGAAATATAGCACAGATTTACCAAAAAAAAAACTAAAAAAACGCCTGATCCGATTACTAGGTCATCTGGTTCGATAAAAAGCAAAAATTTGTAAACATAACTTTAACCAAACTCGCACCTGATGTTGCTGGCCGACCTTGAGTCCCTGGCGCTTCACGAACGTGATCGAGTGCTCGCGCTGGATGTTTTGGTACCAAATCTAAAAGACCATTTTGCAGGCGAAAAACTGTGCCTTGCCTGATATTCGACCATGCTGTTGAAGTGCTCCTCGATGAGGTTGCCCAAATTGTGCGCGCCCGCCATGTGGTCGACGAAGGCCTTGTGCGAGCTGACCGTCTCCGCGCATTCGTTGCAGTTGAACTACAAAAAAATAACTTTGCTTGATCTAGAAAAAACGGAAACCCACTCTTTTCGGCTTATAGCGGCTCGGCTCCCAACCCCTGTGCTCGCGCGCCATGTGGACGGCACGAGTCGAGCGGCTCGCCCCACGCCAGGCACAGTCGGGCAGGTGGCAGCTGTACGGGCCGGCAGCGACGAAGCCACCCTAAAAAGGGTTTTCAAAAAGTGCCGGTTCTTTCGCGTTATCGGGGGGACCAAATTTTTTGTATAAGTCTAGAAATGCCATTAACGGTCAACTAGAAACCTATCTAAAAACTTTTAAAAAGCGTAAAAAGTAGTTTTTTTTTAAATATTTTTTAATCAAACTTTATAAAGTTTTCGCCATTAGGAGTAGCAAAAAACTATTTAGAAACACTTCCAATACTTTATATACGAAAAATTAGGTCCGAAGAAAAAACTAGCCCCCCCCCGCCCCCGGATAATGCGAAAGTACCGCAAAAACAAACGAACATTTGGAGCGCGGTGGCGAGTCGGGATGAAATCCTTGTGCTGAGACTTTATGTGGTTCGAACGGCTGGCTCTGACAAAACAAGAGTTACAGAATAGTCTGACAAAATTACCTATATTGACCGCGCCAAGGGCATCCCTCAACGAAACAGCCGTATCGGGCGTTCTCGTCGTTCGGCTTCAGCACCCTGCCATCCCGAGCGATGCGCTGAAAAAGGTTTATTGTTGCGAAAAGCCAAAAATTAAGGAAAAAGTGCTAAAACCAACATTCAACAAATAACGCGGTGGTCGTTGCCAGGTCGGGTGCATGGTGCGCATGTGGGTACAACTACGAGATTAATGATTAAGGCAAAAAGGTTAAAAGTTACCGAACGGACCGGAAATTGCCGCGCCATTTGCACGCCTCGATGTAGCAGGGATAGCGGCCCTTTTGATCGCCGAGCAGCGCACGGGGCGAAACACGCTGAAAAAACCCAAAAATTATGTATTCAAAAAGAACCTTTTGCTGATTGGAGGATGCTCTGATCGGGATAGTTTTATAACATTTGAAAGCTTTCGAAAGGTGCATAAACAAACTTTTTATAGGTTTTTTATGCTTTTTAATTATGTTTTTTCTTCTTTTCTCGCTTTTTTGCCTCACCGCTTCAAAAGCTTTCGATAGATACCTAGATCCTCATAAGCGAACGGTTGTACGCCCAGATAGAGAGGCGTTTTTGAAGCAACATATACAAAAAACACCTTCAAATCACCTTTTTCTTTGTTGCATAATAGTCGGGATCTAGCGGATCGACGGAGGAGCCGCTCTCCACATCAATCTCTTGGCTCACCGCCTCGCGTCCCGATACGGGCTCGTCAAAGTCCGTGTTGCACTTGATATCCTCCTCGCTTTCAACATCGCCGTCAAGATAGTCGTCACCTAGACGTTTTGTTAGCAAAGAAAGGCCTACAAACCGTATGGATCGATTTCCGGCGGGTCTTCCTCGTCACAGAATCCCTCGATGACCGCCTCGTCGGGGGCTTCTTCCTTTATGTTGTCGGGCAGCAGGAGTGGCATCTCTTGCGATTCCATGCTGAAATGAAAAATGAAACGATTTCGAAAGCGCTCAAAGAAAGGAAAAGAAACGGAACGAATTGCTGTAAAATTGAGCCCACTGTCAAAACAATCCAGCACTTTTTTAAATTTTAAAGATGAGTTCAAGCTCAATTTTATAAAATTCAACTTATCAATTTTTTTTATACAAAAAGCTCAAAAACCCGGAAGCCTGGACGCCGGAAAAGCTCCTCAGGATACGGTATCCTTTACGTATCCGCGCTTTAGAAACGGACTTCCCAATCCGATGAAAATTTTCACCCCGACGATGCTCGAATTCACTCATCCCATTTTTCATGCATTTCCCCTTCAAAATAAGTTAGATCTATACTCGCTTATTTCGAATATCTTGGATAAGCTATGAGCGCTTTTCGCGATCTCGGTTGCTGCCTGCTTTGCACTGAACGCTGTAAGTTGTTTCTTCCGCTTTTCCGACGCCCATCTTAGTTTCGCAGGGCCACCGCCCGAAGGTCCTCGGCTGCGGCCATTCGTTCTGCGAGCGCTGCTTGGCCACCTGTACGCGCATCTCGAGACTGTGCCCCAAATGCCGCGCGCCCATCACAAACAGCTGCATCAACTTTGATTTGCTAAGTAAGCGAGCGGCTTGGCGATAGTTTTGATGTTCCAGACTTGGCTGAAGCTTTGCCGGATGTTGCTGCTGGTGATGGCGGCGTTGAAGTGAACGGCAACGAGGCAAAGTTGCTACTCGAAAGGTTTTACGTCTGTTTAGACGCAAATCCTGGTCAAGAACGTCAACGGCAAGTCTGTGAACATTGACATCAAGCCGGATTCGACTACGGTGACGCTGAAAGACTTCGATCCGGAGGATGAGGAGGCAAAATTCGAACATGATGTGTTACTGTGCTTTAGATGCAAATCTTTGTCAAGAATTTCGATGGTAAAAGCGTTGCGTTTGATATGAAACCTTCTGACAACGTCTTGAAGTTGATGAAGAAAGTTGAAGATCGCGAGGGCATCAAACCTGAGGAGCAGCGTCTCATTTTCATGGGAAAACCGATTGAGTTAGACAGCAACCTGTCACTCCGTGACCTCCACGTGCAACGTGGTTCGACTATTCATCTTGTCCATCGTCAACCGGGTGGTGGCGCAGGTATTTCATAATTTGTACGCTTCTGCATGCATCTATAACCGGGTTTGCAACGTTATTCTTCTTTTCTCCGCGGTTCCTGCGAGCTCAGGCTCCTTGAGAAGCATTTGGAGGCTTCTCCATGTTCTGTGCTTGCCGCCGGCTGCTTGTCTATGCCCTCCACTCTCGGCACACTATTTTCAGTGTGATACGTAGCCGCCCGTGTCTCTTCTCCTCTTTCCCAGCCTCGTGTTGTTTGTCTGGAAAATTCTCTAGTGATGCAACTCGGCAAAGTTTGTGAAAACCGGCTCAAGCAATTTCAATACATCTTATTTGTTTCTGCTTCGCTTCCGACTTTCCTTTCAATCTGAATTCTCCTCATTTGAAACTACTTTCCCCGATTTTCGGTTAGTTTTTGTTGTGCTCGCATGTTTTTGACGGCTTTCTCGCGTTTTCTAGCTTTTAGTTTCCAATTACATCCTCCTTTTCAGTGCAAAGCTCAAACAAAATGCTCTCGCGACTCGCCCTCAGCTACCAGCCGATTCGCCAATTCTCGCAAACGGCGGTGAAGGTATTTTTGAATATTTATTTACTTCTTCTTCATCTAGAGCGCCCGTTTCGGCCAAGGCGGAATCGGCAACAGGTTCACGGAGCAGACGGTTCGTTTTTAGCACTTTTCAGGCTTCAAAGATTTTCTCAATCGATTCAATTTTATGATTTTCGCCCTTTTAGTGGTCCAACTTCAAGACACGCACCGGCCCGACGCTGAAGGAGCGGCTGCTGGGTCCCACCACTGGAAAGCGTGGGATTTTTTCCGGAAACTAGTTAATTATTTTGTTTTAGCCTATCTCTACGGCACCTATGCTCTGATCGGCGCCTCGGCTTTTGGCATTGCCGCCCTGGGCTACTATGGACTCGGCATGAGCAGCGGCTCCTCGATTATTCAGAACAGCGCGTAAGTTTTGTCTTTGAGGAATGACTTTAAAAAATAGCTTTTCGCCTTTATTCCTTTTCTTAACTTACTTTTATAGCCTGTGGCCGCAATATGTTCGTGATCGTCTCCACACTACCTACGGATACCTGGGGGCCGGTCTCGGAATCACGGCTGCTGCTGGCATGGCCGCGTCGAGGAACGCGATGATCATGCGACTCACCTCGTCTGGCTCTATTTTGGTATTTGTGGATTCTCAAGCGTTTAACCAGTTTTAGGGAATGTTCGCTACGCTGGCCGTGATCATTGGCACGAGCGCCGTCTGCCAGTCGGTCCCGTACGAGAACACCTTCGTCAAGCACGTCGCCTGGGCCGTTCACTGCGGCGCGCTTGGAGCTGTGAGCTATAGAGAGATGATTTTATCTTTTTTTGTCTATAGGTTCTCGCCCCGATGGTCTACATGGGCGGCCCGGCGTTGATGCGTGCCGCTTGGTATACGGCTGGATTGGTGGCTGGTGGGTGGAATCGCGAATTTGTCTCTATTTTGGTCTTTTTCGCAGTACCCGGGAAATCGTAGTTTTCCCCCCGCAGGGTTTTATTCGGTTCTTTTGCAGTATCGGGGGTGGGGGAATCAAGTTTTGGAACCTTAGTAGTCTAACTGTTTCTAAGTGTTTTTTTGCTATTTTAATCCTGAAATTTTGCCAATTTTTATTAAAAGAATACAAATAAATAATGGCGTTTCGAAAAAAATTTGACTTAAGACGTTTCCGAAGTTTTTTTTTGTTGGACTTGCAAGGTTGCTAATCCTTTCCCCCTCGATAATGCCAAAGAACCTTTGATTAATGTAACGCCCTTGCATTGCCAAACCTTTCTTTTAGGCCTTTCCGCCACCGCCATCACCGCCCCGTCCGAGAAGTTCCTGATGATGGCCGGCCCGCTCGGCATGGGCTTGGGCGTCGTGTTCGTGGCCAACATCGGCTGCTTCTTCTTCCCGCCCCACAGCGCCCTTGGAGCTAGTAAGGTTCAAATTAGCGACTAAAAATTTTTTTTACAGGCCTGGCCTCGGTAGTCGTCTACGGTGGCTTGATCCTGTTCTCGGCCTTCCTGCTCTACAACACGCAACGTTTGGTGAAGCAGGCCGAAATGCATCCGCAGCCCGGCTACTACGAAGGCGTCCGCCAGTTTGACCCGATCAATGCGTACGTTTTCTGGCTTGATCTCTAGATTTTCTTGCTTTTTTCAGCCAGCTCGGCATCTACATGAACATTCTCAACATCTTCATGCGCATGGCGATGATCACGGGCGGAGGCAGCAACCGCAGGAAGTAGACGTGCGCCGCCGATGCCAAATACAACACAATTAATTCCCGAATATACACCGAATTCCCAAATGTTACTAGTTTCACCCGTTTCTGACGACCTTTGGCTATGAGACCCCCCATTCTCATTCATTTGTTACGAGTCCCTTTCCCCCACCCCTGTTTCGTTATGTTATTTGCCCCCGATTGATCGAGTTGTACTGAATTTTCCGCTAGTGATTCAGTGTTGTAAATAAAGTTTAGTTCCTGTGTGGAAGTGAACAGTGTTCAGCACATCGTATGTAGGGGAGGATAGAAATGCGGATACATTGATTGGTTGATGCACAATTTTGCATTACCATTTCGAATCGCGTCGAATTTTTATGTAATCAAAGCTGGAAAAAACCGATCAGCTTCTTGGAGATTTGGGTGTTTGATAGAGCGCTTGAGTTTTACCAGCAATCTAGCGCGTTTTGGCCTAAGAAAACCGCGCTATAGAACTGTGACAGATGTCCTCTCTAACAATTTTTGCGAGCCTGAAAGTGCAAAAGAAATTAAATGCGTCGTTACTTCTGAAATAGACCTCCGCGATAGTTTCTGAGGACAGATTCGGGTTCAGCGAAATCTTCGCATGTTATGCTTGCTCTGATCTCAAATTCTCATTCAGAGTAACTCTTTACTCTGTTATATACACGTTCCAGGCTCTCCTCCTGCTCCACTGCCATGGCCGCCGCCGAGCATGTTTCATTTGGTGAGGCCTTAGACGAGCTGATCAAGGCGAAGAAGGCGCTCGACGACATGCCGGTACTTTGGATTTTTCATGCCTAGTAATAGTAAAGAAAACATGTACCACGATTTGTTGATAGGAATGCTTCTAGATCGGCGCCGCGCAACGGGCGGAACGCGTGGCCGCCACCTCCCTCGCCGTTCAGCACGTCGTCGCGGCTTGGGAAGCGGTGAAAGCCAAGGTAATGCTCGGATTGTGGTAGTTTCTGTTAATAAAAAGTTAGCAATTTTTCTAACTAAGAAATTTCGAAATTGTGAGCGTTTTTTCCTTTTCCTTTGAGCATTCGCTTTTTCGTTGTCCATCTCTTTTTGTCGCCGGTTTACCTAGGCTTTGGAATTGATCTCAGGCTTTTCGAGAAGTTTAACGGTATTTATCAGGAAGCGGGAAAAGTCGAGGACAAGGGCCAGGCGTCTGTCTCTTCCGACACTGAGGAGGATATTTTGCCCCGGGATTTGGTGGGCGGTTTTGGATTGACCTCCTAGTGAATCTTCAAAAATTTTGCAAAGCGTTTCGGGCAATCATTTATAGGGCCAATGGCGAACCGAACAGGACGTTCAGCCATCCCCTGACATCAGCATCCGCTTCAACGGGGCCTCACCGCCGTCGACGCGCCCTGACACGACCATCGCCATGGACAGCACCCAGCCGGTATGGTAGTCTCCGGTGGGAAGGCGTGAGAAAATAGAATCTTATTGATATTCTCCCTGAACAGCCCTACCCTAGTTTTGAAGAATTTATTTTTACTATTAAAACTTTGCAAAATGTTGCAAAATGCAAGCCCGCAAATAAGGCCTTAACCTTCCTTCTTTCTATAGGTCGAGCAACCCGACGACTGGCTAGAGAGCTTCGCGAACTACAGCGACTCGCCGGCCAGCTCCCCGATGTCGGCCCGCTCGCGCCGCCTCAACAATTCCACCCTCCTGGTGGGCCTATTTACTATTCCTTGAGGCCTTTTCAACTTTGCAAATGGTTTTTCGCAGCGAGCTAATGGCTGTTAGCTTCGACGTGAGCGAAGTCTCTTTTTCAGGAACCCAATGAAGAAGTCGAGGAAGAGGTCGTCCAGGCCGGCACGCCTGGATCCCTGGTCGGTGCCGGCGCCCTTCTCGTCAAGCAGGTACGTTATCATCGCTCCTCCTCGCCTTTCTGCATCTCCTTTGGGGTAATTTTCGGTACATATAGCGTAACGGTGGGGCTCTCAAAACTTTTCTATGTTAAAAATAGTTTAAAATTTTTTTCGGTATAAAACTCTTTTCGTATATTTTTCGACCCTCTGCCGAATGGCGTTCCCAAAATACCGAAAATGTGAAAATCCCGAACTTAGCTTACATCCCGTTGCAACCAAAGTTGTCTGCGCTGAAACGTCTAAAAAATCAAATTTATTAATCTAAAAGTTAACTAATTAAAGTAAATGAAAAAAAGTAAAGATTGAGAAATAGATATAAATATAAAAATATCGAGAAATAGATATAAACTATAAAATATAGAGGTATATTTTTGGGTGTCTATCGATTGAGAATTTAAAAATACCCGAAATCGCGCAATTCTGGCTCCTCCCCCCGTTATATAACGGTTTTCTTTATTCGCTAAGAAGTTGCCCTTGCTTTTCGAGCTGGAAACGATTATTAGTATATTTTTCGACGCCATATAAAATGGAAATTGGTGAAATTCCACAATAATTTCAATTATTAGAAATAATCAGTGCCCCCCGTTAGCCTATGTGTACCCGACGTTAGATCAGCTGACGCGGAATCGTTTTCAGGTGGCGCCGCGGCGCGGCAAAGGGCGTCCTCGGCAGTTTGGGCCCGGCCACTGCCAAGAGTGCCCCGATGAGAAAGGCGAGCAAGAGGTCTCGCACAAGTGTGGCCCGGCTTTGTGCAAGCCGCACCTCCGCATCTTTACGTAAGCAACGACAACACCAGTATACGGCGTGTCGCAATAAAGGTCACGCTGGCATTTTGCCGTTTCGAATCGACCTGAAATTTTGAACAGAGGGTGAGAAGGGAATTCACGAAAACTTTCAGCGCGCTAGCTACAGGGATTTAGGGCCGGAAGTTGGTTAATTAATGAAAAGTCCAAAAAGGTATCGAAAAATCAAGCCAACATTTCGGAAAAATAGTATTTTTGCAATAACTCGAAAACTACTGTACCGATCCGGCTGAAGATTTCTGTGAACATTTTAGATTCCCTTTCGCGCCTTTCCTCGAAATCTCAGGTCGATCGGATTTGAAATGGCGAAATGCCAGCGTGACCTTTTTATTGGGACACCTTGTATATCACGGTTGCGCTTTAGCGGCATCCACGACCTGCTCGCCGCCGACCCGCCCTGCAAGAAGCACTGCTCCAAGGACGGTGAGTTGCCACAGCGCCCTCCCGGGCACGTCGTTCATTCAAAACGTCGGTCTTCAACTGTTAGCAGGGGCTTAGCAGAGACCATCTTTTTCCCTCGGTAATCCTGTAGTGCTCTCTAACAAAATAACTAACAAATTTTTATGGCAACACACGCAGTTTTCGATCAAAAAGCCGAAAAAATTCAGGAAAGTATTTAACTCTTGCGAACAAAATTCATGAACAGTTACGAAAAATATTAAAAAAAAACGAAAATAGAGGCAACAAGACGAATCATTCCCCCCGCTAACAGGCCAGTACCCTTTCCAGAGCCCTGCCTCGTCTGCCAGAAGAAGGTCGATTATGAGGAGTGGCTTGATAAGGGTGTCCGAATGCCCGGCGAGCAGTAGTCGAACGCCGCCGACGACCACACTAAGCAATTAATTCCCGAATGTACACCGAATTCCCAAATGTTACTAGTTTCACCCGTTTCTGACGACCTTTGGCTATGAGACCACCCATTCTCATTCATTTGTTACGAGTTCCTATCCGCTCTTGGATCTGTGACTTGCGCACGGGTTTTAGTGTAAATGTTGTACATGTGTATGTGTGTACAGTGTTGTAAATAAAGTTTAGTCAGCGAAATGAGCCAGGTTTATCAACTCGTATATGTATAGGCGGGAGACGGACGACGGACTAATGTATTTTTGGATGAAGGATACGATGCACAACATCACCTAGCTGTATTCTCTTTTTCTGTTTTTAGAACCGTGTTTATATGCTAATGTAGCCACTGCTAGGGGTATGTTAAGGTATCAAACCGCGTTCTAAAATGGGAGAGACGATCTAGGGCTATTAGAAAGTGCCTGTAGATGTATTTTTGGATGAAGAATACGATGCACAACATCACCTAGCTGTATTCTCTTTTTCTGTTTTTAGAACCGTGTTTATATGCTAGTATAGGCCCATCTAGGGTATGTTAAGGTATCAAACCGCGTTCTAAAATGGGAGAGACGATCTAGGGCTATTAGAAAGTGCCTGTAGATGTATTTTTGGATGAAGAATACGATGCACAACATCACCTAGCTGTATTCTCTTTTTCTGTTTTTAGAACCGTGTTTATATGCTAGTATAGGCACATCTAGGGTATGTTAAGGTATCAAACCGTGTTCTAAAATGGGAGAGACGATCTAGGGCTATTAGAAAGTGCCTGTAGATGTATTTTTGGATGAAGAATACGATGCACAACATCACCTAGCTGTATTCTCTTTTTCTGTTTTTAGAACCGTGTTTATATGCTAATGTAGCCACTGCTAGGGGTATGTTAAGGTATCAAACCGCGTTCTAAAATGGGAGAGACGATCTAGGGCTATTAGAAAGTGCCTGTAGATGTATTTTTGGATGACAAATACGATGCACAACATCACCTAGCTGTATTCTCTTTTTCTGTTTTTAGAACCGTGTTTATATGCTAGTATAGGCACATCTAGGGTATGTTAAGGTATCAAACCGTGTTCTAAAATGGGAGAGACGATCTAGGGCTATTAGAAAGTGCCTGTAGATGTATTTTTGGATGAAGAATACGATGCACAACATCACCTAGCTGTATTCTCTTTTTCTGTTTTTAGAACCGTGTTTATATGCTAATGTAGCCACTGCTAGGGGTATGTTAAGGTATCAAACCGCGTTCTAAAATGGGAGAGACGATCTAGGGCTATTAGAAAGTGTTTGTAGATGTATTTTTGGATGACAAATACGATGCACAACATCACCTAGATGTATTCTCTTTTTCTGTTTTTAGAACCGTGTTTATATGCTAATGTAGCCACTGCTAGGGGTATGTTAAGGTATCAAACCGCGTTCTAAAATGGGAGAGACGATCTAGGGCTATTAGAAAGTGCCTTTAGATGTATTTTTGGATGACAAATACGATGCACAACATCACCTAGCTGTATTCTCTTTTTCTGTTTTTAGAACCGTGTTTATATGCTAATGTAGGCACATCTAGGGTATGTTAAGGTATCAAACCGCGTTCTAAAATCATAGAGACGATCTAGGGCTATTAGAAAGTGCCTGTAGATGTATTTTTGGATGAATAATACGATGCACAACATCACCTAGCTGTATTCTCTTTTTCTGATTTTAGAACCGTGTTTATATGCTAATGTAGGCACATCTAGGGTATGTTAAGGTATCAAACCGCGTTCTAAAATCATAGAGACGATCTAGGGCTATTAGAAAGTGCCTGTAGATGTATTTTTGGATGAATAATACGATGCACAACATCACCTAGCTGTATTCTCTTTTTCTGATTTTAGAACCGTGTTTATATGCTAATGTAGGCACATCTAGGGTATGTTAAGGTATCAAACCGCGTTCTAAAATGATAGAGACGATCTAGGGCTATTAGAAAGTGCCTGTAGATGTATTTTTGGATGAAAAATACGATGCACAACATCACCTAGATGTATTCTCTTTTTCTGTTTTTAGAACCGTGTTTATATGCTAATGTAGGCACATCTAGGGTATGTTAAGGTATCAAACCGCGTTCTAAAATGGGAGAGACGATCTAGGGCTATTAGAAAGTGCCTGTAGATGTATTTTTGGATGACAAATACGATGCACAACATCACCTAGCTGTATTCTCTTTTTCTGTTTTTAGAACCGTGTTTATATGCTAGTATAGGCACATCTAGGGTATGTTAAGGTATGAAACCGCGTTCTAAAATGGGAGAGACGATCTAGGGCTATTAGAAAGTGCCTGTAGATGTATTTTTGGATGACAAATACGATGCACAACATCACCTAGATGTATTCTCTTTTTCTGTTTTTAGAACCGTGTTTATATGCTAGTATAGGCACATCTAGGGTATGTTAAGGTATGAAACCGCGTTCTAAAATGGGAGAGACGATCTAGGGCTATTAGAAAGTGCCTGTAGATGTATTTTTGGATGACAAATACGATGCACAACATCACCTAGATGTATTCTCTTTTTCTGTTTTTAGAACCGTGTTTATATGCTAATGTAGCCACTGCTAGGGGTATGTTAAGGTATCAAACCGCGTTCTAAAATGGGAGAGACGATCTAGGGCTATTAGAAAGTGCCTGTAGATGTATTTTTGGATGAAGAATACGATGCACAACATCACCTAGCTGTATTCTCTTTTTCTGTTTTTAGAACCGTGTTTATATGCTAATGTAGGCACTGCTAGGGGTATGTTAAGGTATCAAACCGCGTTCTAAAATGGGAGAGACGATCTAGGGCTATTAGAAAGTGCCTGTAGATGTATTTTTGGATGACAAATACGATGCACAACATCACCTAGCTGTATTCTCTTTTTTCTGTTTTTAGAACCGTGTTTATATGCTAATGTAGCCACTGCTAGGGGTATGTTAAGGTATCAAACCGCGTTCTAAAATGGGAGAGACGATCTAGGGCTATTAGAAAGTGCCTGTAGATGTATTTTTGGATGAAGAATACGATGCACAACATCACCTAGCTGTATTCTCTTTTTCTGTTTTTAGAACCGTGTTTATATGCTAATGTAGCCACTGCTAGGGGTATGTTAAGGTATGAAACCGCGTTCTAAAATGGGAGAGACGATCTAGGGCTATTAGAAAGTGTTTGTAGATGTATTTTTGGATGAAGAATACGATGCACAACATCACCTAGCTGTATTCTCTTTTTCTGTTTTTAGAACCGTGTTTATATGCTAATGTAGCCACTGCTAGGGGTATGTTAAGGTATCAAACCGTGTTCTAAAATGGGAGAGACGATCTAGGGCTATTAGAAAGTGCCTGTAGATGTATTTTTGGATGAAGAATACGATGCACAACATCACCTAGCTGTATTCTCTTTTTCTGTTTTTAGAACCGTGTTTATATGCTAATGTAGCCACTGCTAGGGGTATGTTAAGGTATCAAACCGTGTTCTAAAATGGGAGAGACGATCTAGGGCTATTAGAAAGTGCCTGTAGATGTATTTTTGGATGAAGAATACGATGCACAACATCACCTAGCTGTATTCTCTTTTTCTGTGTTTAGAACCGTGTTTATATGCTAGTATAGGCACATCTAGGGTATGTTAAGGTATGAAACCGCGTTCTAAAATGGGAGAGACGATCTAGGGCTATTAGAAAGTGTTTGTAGATGTATTTTTGGATGAAGAATACGATGCACAACATCACCTAGCTGTATTCTCTTTTTCTGTTTTTAGAACCGTGTTTATATGCTAGTATAGGCACATCTAGGGTATGTTAAGGTATGAAACCGCGTTCTAAAATGGGAGAGACGATCTAGGGCTATTAGAAAGTGTTTGTAGATGTATTTTTGGATGAAGAATACGATGCACAACATCACCTAACTGTATTCTCTTTTTCTGATTTTAGAACCGTGTTTATATGCTAATGTAGCCACTGCTAGGGGTATGTTAAGGTATCAAACCGTGTTCTAAAATGGGAGAGACGAGCTAGGGCTATTAGAAAGTGTTTGTAGATGTATTTTTGGATGAAGAATACGATGCACAACATCACCTAGCTGTATTCTCATTTTCTCATTTTAGAACCGTGTTTATATGCTAATGTAGGGTATGTTAAGGTATCAAACCGCGTTCTAAAATCATAGAGACTGTGGTAGGCTATCAGAAAATGCCTGTAGATGTAGTTTTGGATGAAAAATACGATACACAACATTTACGCCTTATGCCTGGGGGGTGCAATGGCGGGACGGGGGCAGACATGTCTAGGATGGGGACCCGTACGAGAGGTTGAGAGTCTGAGTCTCAGGCGTATATTAGCATCTGGGCTGATATGAATGGAGCTGTCGGTAATCCCACGATCCATCCAGCAGTGACCGGCCGAGTGGTCGCCCGTTTCGGATATGGTGAGTTTGGTTGGATGAGGACCGGTACATATGTTCATTTACCGGACAGACCTTTGATAGCAGCAACTTCCCCTAGAAAGCCACTCGTGAGCACACGTGATTGGGGCACGTGATTTAGAGATGCGCGTCCGATTCTTGGCTTTTGTACTAACGCGCAATTGACGCGAGCTTACACGGCCTCTCGCGGGAGCTACTCTTCTTATCAAGCGGGGATTTTTGGAAAAAATCAAAGATTTTTGCCGCGGCCGGGGGTCGAACCCGGGCCCCCGCTTCGGGAGGCGCGGATGCATGCCAGTCAGCCACAGCTACAACCAGGCATGGGGGTGAGGGACGCCCCACGTCGCAAAGGAGGCGAATTGCCTGCCACGGCACGGGCAGACAGCGCGCGCGATCCCTACGTCCATAGGGTGTACACGTTGGGACGAGTACACGGCCCCTCCTTGAACGTGCGCTTTAACGTTCGGTTCCAGGCTCATTCCCTCTCGGAGGCTTTCAATGCGGACGACGAGGCGTTGCTCCAGTACCTCCTCGCGGTGAAGCGCCACGCTGCAGCCGTGAACAAGTTCAGTGAGGCGGTAAGCGCTGTTCCCCTGGATTTCGACTTTTTGGCTTTTTCGGACATAAAATATCTACGTTGTCTAGCTTAGACGTTTCCCTTTAGGATTTCCTGGTGCGCATTTTCTCCAAACGAGCCGCTGACGGTGCGCACATGCGGGAGGAGTTGGTGCATAATGCCTGGGACATGCTGGATTTTCCAAACTTGCACAACGACGCGTGGGCCCCTGAGGCACGGACGAAGAAGACCGAGGTAGGTTCGACTTCGAACAATATTGACAGTTCTCTTCAGCCGTTTATGAATTTTTCAGACCTTGAACCTTGCCGCGTTTCCGGACCTCCTGCAGGAGCTACCGCCCGAATTGCACAAGGCGATTCAGGACTCGTATCATCTGGCTTCGACATCTGAAGCTTTGTGTCTTGACGGATTGAAGAAGGTACGCGGAATTCCATCCTTTCGAAATACGTCGCAATCACGATTTTGTAAATAAATGTTCAGATAGTGTTTGTGAACCTATCTAACGTGCCGTTTATCCGCGATTCTAGGCGATGAAGCCCTACCGCACCGAACGAACCCGGCGACTTCGGGAAGTTGAAGCCGCCCAAAAGGCCGTAGACCTCGCCTGGCAGAGCTACAAAGACAAGGTACGTTGGGACGTTTTGCCTTGTCGCGGCTCGATGAGTTGGGACAGTAAGAGTGCTTCCTATTTCAGTACAAGGCCAGGGAAGTGCGCCTTGCCACCGAGCTCGGGGCCGGGGTTTGCGCAGAAACGCTCTACAGAGACGCGGCTGAGATTCCCAAAGGGGCCTCCATGATGGTCATCACTATCATAAATCCGGTCTGACGGCTCCTTCCATCAATGTACAAAATCATTCAGATGCCGCTCCCATTTGGCGGCTTCGTGCTAGCGCCGCCCGCCGTCGTCCCGGAAGCTGGGCACCAGGTATGTGAAAGGGTGAGCCGGGTTCACGCTTTTTGGCCATGGTTAGGGTGAATATGAGCTCGCCCTTACAGGAACATGTTCGCGGGCCGAGGAAGTCGGCTGACCAGAAAGTCGACACCACCATGGACGCTACGCAGCGGGGATTAATACTTTGGTGCGTCCTGCAACTTTGGGGAACGCCATTTAATAGCTTTCAAGAGACTGTCAATGCTGTTTCTACAATTTTAACTTTGTTTCTACAGGTGCGACAAGCCGACGGATGGCTCGACAGCTGGATAAACGTTAGTGCCGCTGACGACTCTTCGACGCAATCCCACAAGGACACTACGGCATCTGGCGGCCGTGCACCGCGTACGCAGCTGGTAGGCCCGTTACGTCGTTCCCCTTTGCGCAACTTGAGCCTTTCTGTTTTCGGAAACGCTGAACTCAATTGTACAGGTTTTCAACATGCAAGAGGACGAAGTGCAGTATAGCGGAGAATCTGAAGACGAGAAGAATAACGGTTACGAGGGATCAGATGAGGCGACTAATGCTGCTCGATCGCTCCCCGGCAACAAGATGACGAGGAAGGGGGCCACTCCGCCGACGCCGGTACGCCAGACTTTTGTTTACTATGCCTAAACATAAAAACTGTTCGAATTTCATTACAAATTACCGAAAAATATACTTTTTTCCGCCGAGATTGCCGACATTTGAGTACAATTTCTCTTTGGTTTTGGCGTTCGAGTTTTTGCTCCTACTGCCACTTTTACTTTTCTCGCTCGCACCTCACGTGATATTTATAACAAGTTTGAACTGTCTTTTTGCAGGCTCGCAAGGGTGTCGTCTACCAGATCCGACGAGAAGGAGCGCGAGACGAAGGAGGCTGCTCGATCGCCGCCCGGCGACAACATGACCCAGAATGCCGGGAACCACTCCACCAACTCCGGTACGCCAGACTTTTGTTTACTATGCCTAAACATAAAAACTGTTCGAATTTCATTAACAATTACCGAAAAATATACTTTTTTCCGCCGAGAGTGCCGACATTTGAGTACAATTTCTCTTTTGTTTTTGCTCCTACTTCCACTTTTACTTTTCTCGCTCGCACCTCACGTGATATTTATAACAAGTTTGAACTGTCTTTTTGCAGGCTCGCAAGGGCGACATCGAGGAGCTGCACAGCGGATACGAGCAATCCGACCAGAAGGAGCATGAGAAGCCTGATGATGCCCAATCACCACCTGGCGAAGAGATGACGCTGAATGCGGGGGTCACTCCGCCAACACCGGTAGGCCAGACTTTTTTTTTACAATGCCTAAGCATCAAAACGGTTCCAATTTCATTAAATATTGCCAAAAATATACTTTTTCTTATACAGTTGCATGCAAATGCACACACATACACACACAGACACTATTTTTTTATATACAGTAGGATTATATTACTATACGTTTTCGCCCTTTTATAGCAAGTGGAGCAGGATGGTACCGATCGCGAGCTGCTCGTAGATGATGGCGCCGGAGGTCAAGACGGCCATGTTACGACCGACCCCGACACCACCAGCGACAATGCCACGCAGGTAGACGGCCCAAGAAGCCTTTCATTTCAAACGTTGACATTTCAATTGGACATTTGGACATTTTGATCTAGAAGCGATCTAGAAACGTTTTTCGATGTAATTTTGGATGGAGAATACGATGTGCTACATAGCATAGCTCGGATACGCTTAAATGTTTTAGAACGAAGTATTAGCAACTTGAATATCGGTTCAGCCCTGAGCAAGATGAAAAGATTTGGAAGGCGCTTACCTATTGCATTAGTCCCTTGGGACCACCGGCAGCTACCATTACAATGGTGGCTTTCTTTCGGGCTACGATTTCCCACGGCACGAGGGTCAATAACATTTCCAACTTTTCGGAATTTTCGGGGCTTTGCCAACGCTTTTCGCTAGAGCGTCGAAAAACATGTCGTTGGCTGCAATCTCAGCTTTAAATTGTGTTAAGTAAAATGGTAGTAGGAATTAAAAAAATATATAAAATTTCCTGTTTCCTGGACTTTCATTTTCAGCCAAACGCCCGTGGAGGTCCGCGCTACTTCGCGGGCAGGTGCATTATTTGCATGCCCGGCGTCGGCGATCAGCAGACCTCGCTGAAGTTTGCGCGCCCGCTCTGCAAACCCCACGTCCGGAAGTTCGCGTAGGCCGGCCAACGACTACGTCTTAAGCTCAAGTTGCTTCTAGGCGCCTGCTCGAGCGGGTCGCCACCAACCCGAACTGCGCTCCCGGATGCGGCGGTAACGGTGGTAAGTTGGCAGTTCTGGACTGTTAGCGGCCGGCAGTGAGGTTAGCAAGGGGAACCACTTTCTGTTTGTTTTAGTAGGAAGTAACAAAAACCATTTTTCAATTATTCAAAAAATTCGAACATTTTGACCTTTTTGGTCATTTTTCATACATTTTTGACCAAAAAGTGAATAATTTTCGAATTTTTTTTAGTGTTTTATAGCTAAAAAAGATGGTTTATAATTTGGGTAAGAGTTACCCAAATTATAAACCTTTATATACATACAACCTATAAAGGTTTACTTTACCCCCCCCACAGCCGAAGGGTCTGAAAGTTGTCGGTATTTTCGCTTATTTTGTCGGGATTTTTGCAACGCGATTCGATAGAGCGTCGAAAAGTAAACCGTAGCCATAATTTGTTATCCGGTCGTAGAGAATCCCCATAAGACTTCATTCTTAAAACTTCATTAGCATCGAAAAAATAGCTCCTTTTTCTATAGTAGAGCTGGCTTTTCGCATGCAAATTTTTCGGGATGGTGTCTTTCGGGATGGTGTCTTTCGGGATGGTGTCTTTCGGGATGGTGTCTTTTCGGGATGGTGTCCATCTACCAAAAATATGGTTCCCCCCGCTAAAAATCCCGCCCCCTACACCCCCGCTAACAGTCCAGAACCATTTTCGCTAGTAGACTGTTAGCGGGGGGGTGTGTTAAGCCAAAGGTCAGAGGCTTAAGCCGATTATCCCCATTTCCAGGTCTGTGTCCCGCTTGCGAGCACGCGGAGTGGCTGGACCGCGGAGTTCACCCTTGAGGAGCCCGATCATCAGCTCCACCTACGCCCCCTCCGTCCGGCACAAAAGAATTGCATTCTCTCTCTCTCTCTCTCTCTCTCTCTCTCTTTTTCTCGCTCTCTTTCTCTCTCACCCACTCGCTCTCTATCATCCTCAGCCTCAATCTCTTCCCCCATCGCTCTCTCCTTTCCCTGATGCTCCTGTATTTCTTCGACTGCATTTCGCTGAATAAATATTCGATCATAAGGCAATGGAAAATAATAACACGTTCTCCGTTACGCTACAATACGCTGCTCCTCGCGTGTTTTCGTATATCTTTTTGCGCAATAGATTTGAGAGTCCTCGTTTCGCTTATCCCATCAAACCCTCGGTTCCGGGGCGCTACTATTGACACCTTACCCGGTGCGCAGCCGCCCATCAATTTGAGGCGGGCCCTGCTCTCGTCCTCCAGGTTAGATACTGATCCAGCGCAAAGGCGCTCTAATTTTTTCTGACACATAGACCTCTTTAAGAGGAAAAATCCGCCCTTCTAGAAAATGCCGCCGACCGCCGAGGACAACCATGCTAGCGCAAAGAGGTCAAGGGAGGAAATAATTTACAGGGTGGGTTTTTATCATATTTTTAATGCACATAGCTTTATATTTTTTGAATCTAAAAGCAATTTTTGTAATGGTTTTAGCGTTAATTGATAGATTGAAACTACAGAAATATTTTTGAAGTCAGAAGAAACCTGAAAACAAGATTACCTTTACTTTCGAAACTCGGAAATTTGAGGCCATGCTTACAGGAAGCCTATATTGCTTTATAGATAAAGGAAATAGTTGTGAAATAATATATAAATTATAAGACCAACTCCCAAAAAAATAGCCTTCAGTTCACCTCAAACGATGGGCACGAATTCACGATGGAGAAAAGCGCGGCGATGCTCTCGGGGCTCGTCAAGCAAATGGTTCAGGTGAGTTGGCTTCGATGAATTTGATAATTTACCTTACATAGCCCTTAAAAATACATAAAGCAATGTAGGTCTAAGAAAATGTGAAAAAACTAACCTCGAAGTACGAGAAAAGCTACTTTTTCGTCTAACGATGGCAATTTTTACGCTAAAAAACATCTAAAGCTGGGTGGTTAGACGTGACTAAATTTTCAGAAGTCATAAAATAGAAAAATCTATAAATTAGATTTAATAAAAATTATAATCATCGTCTCTCTTCAGGACCTAAACGTATCCGACGAGGAAGCGGGCGCGATGCAGCCGATCCCGATGATCAACGTCAGCAGCACGTGCATGCCTTTAGTAAGTCCAAGCCCAACAAGCCTTGTAAGCCAAAGTCTAACAATGAGCTAAGCCGATGCATAAGCCTAAGCCTAGGCCAAGTTAAGTCTATCATAAGCCTAAGCCGAAGCATAAGCCCAAACCTAAACTTAAGTCCGAGCTAAGCCTAAGCCAACCCGAACCTAAGGCTAGGTCAGAGCCTAAGCCTGGGCCTGAGGCTCAGCCAAGCCTAAGCCAAGCCTAAGCCAAGCCTAAGCCTAAGCCTAAACCTAAGCCTAAGCCGAAGCCGAAACCGAAGCATAAAATGACACCTGAGTCAAGCTTAAGCCAAGTCTAAGCCCAGCCTGAGCCCAAGCTCTAGCCCAAAACTTTAAAATTCCGACTTACAGATCGTAAAATGGTGCGAGAAGCACAAGACGATGCCGGAATGGGAGGAGGAGAAGTGGTGGCTCAACTCGCGCGACGCGGCGATGACCAAATGGGAAGACGACTTCATGGCCGTTGTTGACGAGCTGCTCTTTGAGCTGTTTTGTGTAAGTTACAGGAGATGAAGAAGGCGAAATCGAAGCCTAAGCTAAGCCTAAGCCCAAACCTAAGCCTAAACCTACACCCAAGCTAAGCCCAAGTTTAGGCAGCCAACTACATGGACATCAAGTGCCTCACTGACAAGTGCGCCGATACAGTGGCCCTGATGATCAGGGGCAAAAACGTGGAGGAGATTCGGAAGATCTGGATGCTGGAGAACGACTTCACACCCGAGGAGGAGGAGGAAATGAAGTAAGTTTAGAGCCTTATTTTATTTAGCTCTTTTGCATTATCGGGGGGGGGTATCGAACATTTAATGGTGTTTTTAGTAACATTTTACAATATTTTATTCGGAAAAACAATAAAAATCCTCATATTTCGTCGTTGTCGAGACCTAGTCGGCGAAAGGGTCGATTTTCACGCTCCTTGGCCTCTTTAAAGGCATTTTTTCAGAAATGAAAACCCGTGGGAGGTGATCCTGCGCGACATGGGCGAGCTGAACACCGGCCACCCACCCGAGCGCTTTGGTGCTACTGCTCAACCTGCTCGTCTTCCTCTCCCACCTGTCCCCCATGCACTCCACGCAGCGCAATTCGCTCGAGCGCAGCTAGCGGCGGTTGCCGCTGCTGCTCCTCACGCACCGGCTGCTCCTGCTGCCCCGGCTGATGGTGCTCAGGACCAAGGAGATGCTGCGGCTGCTGCTGGAGCTCAGGATCAAGAAGAGCCGGCTGAAGCTGATGCCCCGGCTGCTGCCGCTGATGATCCAGCTGCCGATGCTGATCAAGCCGAACAAGCCGAACAAGCGGAAGATCCAGCAGATGCTCAACAAAATCCTGGCCCAGAAAATTGAACATTTCGATTTTTTTAATTGAATTTATGATGATTGTACATTTTCCTTGTCGCATCCTGATTGATACCCCAAAAAGTCATCTCTTTCGCGCCCAGCCCTGAATCCCTAACCCATTTTTTTTGCGCGGTTTGAAGACTAAATAAAGTCTGTGAGATTTTATGAAGATTTTATGAAAAATAAAAGTTGAACTTAATGGACACAACAAAACGAGAGAAAGAGAGCGAGAGAGAGATAGAGAGCGGAAGAGAGAGCGAGGGAGAGCGAGAGAGAGCAGGAGAGAGAGCGAGAGAGAGAGAGCGAGAGAGAGAGAGAGACAGAGCAAGTGGGAGAGAAAGGTATTGTATTTCTTTTTTCGTTCGTTGTTACGGTAATGACCCACGACTTTTGCAACCCTCTACAGGTTTCGAGCAGAAAATTCCCTGGGGTCGTATTTCCAGATAGACTTCGATATCACCGTTTGTATGTTTCTCGCTCTCTTACTCTCTCCTTCTCTCTCCGCCTCTGTCTCTCTCTCTCTCTCTCTCTCTCTACCTCTCTCACGCTATTTCTGCCACTTTTCGGATGCGATACTGCAAGCTCTCAATTTTTCGAATTACGCTGACTCTTCCTTTCGGGATGTAAATAAATAGGCATTTATTCAAATCTTTGCCCTCAACTGGTTTCCCGGACCAAAATATAATTCTTTCAACAAGCTCCTCGACACCTCTCCGTCCAACGACCTGGGGATCACCCGGATGAAGGTCACACCGTCGAGCTGTTTATGCCGCGGGACTTGGCCTGAAGATTCAGACCTAAAAATTAACATGCATTTACAAACCATTTACGAGGGCCATGATCTTGCAATCGTTGATCCCTTGCTTTCCCTTTACGACGAGGGCGTGAGGAGCCTGAAATTTCCTGGATATGGTTTAATAGCCGAGGCACACGAGCTTATACTTCCTCTACGTTTATTCATAAAAAAGATAGCGAATCGCAGCGTCGAGAAAAAGCTTGGTGACGCTAGGTTTTATTACCTCTCCCTTCGTCTCATGGGCCGCACCGACAACCACACAGTCCGATACGCCATCTATCGACCGTACCACCCGTTCAAGTTCGCTGGGATGCACCTAAAAATTAGTAATAAAACCTTTGTTGTATTAATCTAGAAATGTCTAGTAACTTAATAGGAAATATTTTCATAATATTTTTAGTAAATAAATCCATAGTCTAGCTAGAAAAACTATCCAAAAACCTTCAAAAGCCTTTAAAAAGTCGGCATTTTTGTTAAAAACGGCCATTTTTGGGGGACAAATTGATATATCTGTGTTTTTCTAAATATTTGTAAAGTTTTCCCGTATAGGAAAAGTAAAAAAAAACGGTTTAAAAACACCTCCGCTGTTATATGTAAAAAAATTGGTCTTTAAGAAAAAATGTTCTTCCCGCAAGAACCTATCTCCGAGTTCCAAAATGGATTTTTTTTCGGTACCTTCACGCCAAAATCCAAAGATTCCAAAATTTCGAAAATTGGATAGCATAGCTAAACTCGCCTTTTCGAGGGCGTTCGATAGATACCTTAATATTAACATCCGACACCCTTTATATCGATAGTAACTTGGAAAGGACCCTGAAGCACATACAGTAAACCCGGAGACTCGGATGACTTCTTCCATTTTGGCAACGCGACTTGTAGTGGCTGGGAATTGTGCACTTGTCTACGACTGGCCGTCTTGGCAGCGGAACCTCTCACTCCATCCCGGCCAATAGACAGTTCAACGGCGGACTTTTTGTCCAATACTGTCGTTTTTTTCGTGGAATTCTTGGCCTTTTGATAACGCTATCGCGGGTGTTGGGCGTCGTTTTTCTTCCGGCCGACGGGGAAGGCCCGACACGGTGAGCAGAGAATGGACACATTTTGCGTCAGCAGGGTTCTCGAACTTTGAGAGGGTCTCAAAAAATTAATAACGACTAGGGAACTGCATTTTTCGAGGAACCATTTTGTCGGCAGCTGTTCAGGGTATTCTGTGAGTGTAGGTAAACCATAAAAACGCATCTAGTCGAAAAACGCAAAACTTTTTTCCGTACGAAATATCGATGTGCCCAAACTCGTTCCATCTTTCGTGATTAACAATCCCCAAGGTGGCGCTCTGGCTGATTTTTCCAGAGCGGGCCGGGTCAGTTCAGCTCAAGCAAATCATGCCACTCTCGGAAGTCGGGTTGGACCTGCTGAAGCTGCAGCTTGATACTCTCAAGCCCCAGGAGGTGTAGCATAAACTCCTGCGTTCTATTGATGATTTTTAAAATTGAAATTTCTTTATCTGTTGTCTTTTTCTTCCTCTCTCTCTCTCTCTCTCTCTCTCTCTCTCTCTCTCTCTCTCTCTCTCTCTCTCTAACTCTCTCTCTCTCTCTCTCTCTCTCTCTCTCTCTATCTCCATATCTCTCTTTCTCTCTCTCTATCTCTCTCGTTCTCTCTCTCTCTCTTTCTCTCTCTCTCGCTTCCAATTTCGTTCAAAACCATGTGTTACGCAAAATGTACTGGAAGCAAAACAAATTTATTATTTCCGCCTCGTGAAATCCGCAATAACCTTCGGGGCTCGAAAAGCGTGGCCGAGACGTCGTTCGTAGGGTGGCAACACTTTACCGGTAATCTGGGGAGCAAAAAGGTTAGAAATCGAAATCGGGCTTACCGTATATCGATTCATCACGTTGGCCAAGTGCAAAAATAACTCCATATGGGCCAGCGGTCGCGCTGCACAGTTACGCTTGCCAAGTTGAAAAGGCGTGATCTGAAACGAATTGGAATAAGTAAAGAGAGGGAGCGTGAGCGCGAGAGAGAGCGCGAGAGAGAGAAAAAGAGAAAGAGAAAGAAAGCGTTAGACGACCTACCTTTTCATCGATTATAAAGCTCCCATCTTCCCGAATGAAGCGCTCCGGTCGGAACTCCCAAGGATCGGGGTAAAGCTGAAAAAAAACTTGTTTCTGAGAGAGGTGAGAGAGAGAGAGAGAGATCACGAGAGATGCTTGCTCGAACTCACCTTCTCATCATAGTGCACGCATACATTCAGTGAGTATACGGTACATCCTTTTGGAACTGTGTACCCTTGGACGTGGACGTCCTCGGAAGCCGCGTGGTGGAGCGTCAGAAGCCCAGCGGTCCCGTAGCGATGAACTTCCTGGAATCGGGTTTGAAGTAAGCAGAAAACAACGCGGTTTCCCACTCTCATTCTCTCGCTCTCTCGATCTCTCTCGCCGCTCACTTTCTCTCGCTCTCTCTCTTCTCACTCTGTTCTTGTCCCACCTGCAGGATAGCTTGGCAGAACGGTAGATGAACTTTGTCCGCCATGGTGACGAGACGGTCATCGCCGATTGCGCGATCTAAAAAGTCGTTGGTTACTTGCGGAAATGCGTAAGTTAGCACAGAAGGGGAGCGAGAGAGAGATAGAGAGAGAGAGAGAGAGAGAGAGAGAGAGAGAGAGAGAGAGAGGGAGAGAGAGACCGGCGACACCGAGGGACATCTCGATAGTTCAGGGCCGCTTAGAAAGGCAGTAAAGTCCGGGCTCAAAAGCCGAAAAATTCGTACCAATTGACAGGTGAGACAGGCAGACTGATAAGAGATCAGGAAACAGATACTTTACCAAGCTCTTCCTGTGCCCTCCTCTGGTATTCCGGATACTTCACCAGGAAGGCCAACGTCCAGCCATACGTGCAGGACGTTGTGTGGTAGCCTAAAAGTCGTTGAGAACCAACACCAGATTTGGGCGATGGCGTATTGAAGAGAAAATTGGTACGTACCAGCAATCACCATATCGAGTAGTAGCGCGCGAAGCTGACGGTGACTATGATATATGGTTGGCAGGTTACAACGGGCAAGAAATGATCAGCGACATCGTCATATCTCTCGCTCCCTCTCTCTCACTTGCTCTCTCTCTCTCTCTCTCTCTATCACTCTGCTCTGTCTGCCTTTCCTTCTCTCACTCACCAATAGAATTCTTCCCGCTCGGTGCCCTCAGCAATCTTTCGCTCGGCAAGAAAGGCTTCGATTAGGTCTTCGGGCTCCTGAAATGGGGTGGTGATTATGCTAGAACTAAAGCCTAAGCCCAAGCCCATATAGACTAAGTCGAAGCCGGCCGATAAATTAAGCATACCCTAGCGGAAGCCTAATTTTTACTTACCTTTGACGGCTCGTTATTGTTGGCCATCGCGGCGTGCTGTTCTATTTGCGTGTCGACGAACTCTGCGAGGGCGTTAACGAGCTCGTTTACATGCTCTTGTGCGTCTAAAAAGACATACTACAAGGAGGAGCTCCGAAACCGACGTCTACAACTCGCATGCGTGCCGGCGTATCTATGCGTAGCCGCTGGTACTCACTTTTCCAATACGGCAAATGTCTCAACCAGTGCATGTGGTTGATCAGCACCGTCATCGGATGCCCCATTCGTTCCATGTGGTGGTAGACAAGCTCGTTGAAGCCGAGGAAGCGGTCGAGGTTGCCCTGAATATTGGTTAAGGTTAATACGGAGAATATCTCTCTATCGCTCTCTCGCGCGCGCTCTCTCTCTCTCACTCTCTCTCTCTCTCTCTCTCTCTCTCTCTCTTTCTCTCACTCTCACCTTTTCTAGCCGATAGCCAAATAGCAGCTGATTGCTGAGCGATGCGATCGCAATGTCGGATTGCAACTAAAGAAGCTTTTTAAGTTTATTTTTTCCATAGTTACATACCCGCAAATCCACATTTTCCGGCTGCGCATCGACCCGCTTGAACATGTCTTCGACTTCGGATAAGACCTGAACGTTTGGCTAGCAAGGTGGTGCTCCATCACCCACATGGTGCTCCATCAGCCCCTTGCCCATGCCGAACTCCTTGAGCGTGTGGACAAGGAATCGCCGCTGATCTTGCCACAGGTCCCCGGAAATGATCGTGATCCCCCAGACGCCGGCTGAAAAAAAGCTAATTTTTCGCAAGTTGGAGCAAGTCCAAAAAGCCAGACATCCCAGTTACCTTTGGCCGCTTGGCTCGTTTTTGTGTGGCCAGGGCGATCCCAAAATTTGTGGCCTTCCTTGACCATCATCTGGCAAGCCGTGTCGTAGTCGGCCCACATTACGATCGGATTCGGGCCTCAAAACCATATTTCCTGTTTTTAACAATACTTTCAAATTTTTTCAAATTTTTTTGATAGGTTTTTATATTTAGAAACTGTTTAAAATTTGATGCAAATGATCAATCGTTCCTTATCGCAACACCCCGGGATACCAGAAAAAAATTCGTAAACAAAGAACTGGACGAACCAAGTTCCAAGTTCTCACCTTGCCAATAGGTAAATACATTTCCATACTGCTTGCGCCAGCGTATAAATGGTGCGTAGCCCGGCGGTTCAAACCATAAGGATAGGGAATTCCCGAAAAATGGAAGAGGCATTGGCCCTAAAAATGGCAACTTTGGCACTTGCTAGTCCCTTTAAAGGGTCTAGCAAGTTCCCTATCCTTCCCTTTTCTTACCTGGCGGATACTTCCTCGTTTTCCAGTACATTTCGTGGAATAAATAGGCAAATATAGAGGCTAATAATGTGATGAGGAACATTTTCTGAACTGGATTCCGTAACCTTAATTTAAATATAACGACACGAAAATATAACGAAAAAAAAACAAATAGACTAGAACGGCAGTGAGCATAAACTTTTCGGAAAAAAAACTTGTTAAAACTAATTCTCCATGGAAAATACTTTTTGTTCAAAAGTCATTTTTGAAAATGATGTTTTGAGAATCTCAAAATTTGGTAAGAGTTTACTTTACCCCCCCCCCCCCCCCCACAGCCGAAGGGTCTGAAAGCTTTCGGTATTTTCGCTTATTTTGTCGGGATTTTTGCACCGCCATTCGATAGAGCGTCGAAAAATATACTAAGAGTTTTAATTTGAGCCTACAATAATGTAAAATAAAAAAGTTATAGCCAAAAACTTCCGGCTGGGGGGGGGGGGGGGTAAAATAAACCGTAGCCCAAAATTTTTAGAAAGTTTTATTACAGTTTTTTGCCTTTTCAGGCCCGTTCCTATCGATAGCGGGAGGTGAATTTTTCCATTTTTTAAAAATATTTTTGTGGGATTCGTTATGCAAATCGAGTGAATTCCGATCGATAACTTTAGGAAGTTGGTATTGAGATTCGGGGCTAAAAGTATGGTCTACTCGACTTTGTCGGACCCACCCGAGCGCCTTCCTCATTGATAAAAGGCAATCAACGCGAGCGTTCGTCTACAAAAACCGTTCGCGCCAGCCATCGTAAACCCCCGGGCTGAGGTGAGGGGGATCCCGGAATTTGCACCCCCCCCACTTTTTGCACCTCAAATGCAAACACCGCAAAACTCGGCTCGGCCCATTGTTCGAGTTAAGAGCTTCATATCACTGGGATCGAAAGTGGTTTACAAGGAAATCAAAAGTTGAGTTGTACGACCTGAGTAACCATTTTGGAGCTGGGTTGTTAGCGGGGGTGGGAGAGTTTAACGAGGGAGATTCTTTTTAAGAACCCGGTATAGCATAATCTGGACGTTTTCATAATCCTTCACGTTTTTGTCAATTTAATATTTAATATTCATTCAATTCAAAGCATATTCTAGGATATTAAGAGGCCCTGGAAGAAAAATATAGATTAAATTCCTCTAAACTCCTCCCCCTGCTAACGGATTAGTACCGTACTTTTGGCGGATTAGAGCGTGCGGAAATCGTTCCACTTTTTGATGAAATCCAGATAAGTACAGTATGACCTGTACACATCCGTTTAAGAATACAATAGTTTTCAGAACAATGCATCAAGCCCGACCGTACCTCTTCGAAAGTATTGCTTCGTACTAAAAGATGAAGCATATCCGTTTCAGCTGGGTATTATATCCTTTCTAAAGCAGATTGCTTGCTAGGCCTGCTAAAAATTTTGAACGGCCAGAAATTTCCAAAGACTACTGTGTGCGCTTTTGGGTTAGACAGTTCGTTTTATAATCCCGATCTGTCTGTCCGTCTCACCTGTCAAATCGTACGAATTTTATCCGGCTTTTGATTCCGGACTTAACTGCTTTTCCGTGAGACCCTCTCTCTCTCTCTCTCTCTCTCTCTCTCTCTCTCTCTCTCTCTCTCTCTCTCTCTCTCTCTCTCTCTCTCGCTCTCTCTCTTTCTCACTCTCTCTCGCGCGCTCTCTCTCTCTCTCTCTCTTTCTCACTCTCTCACGCGCTCTCTCTCTAATCTCACTTTTCCAATTTGTGTCCTTTCTGTGGTGTCTGCCTCCTTATCAAAATTTGTTGTGGCAGGGTGCAAAAAACGGAAGCCCCCAGCCATATTTCCTGGGCCTTTGGACTTCTCATATTAAGACACCTACCTCCGGAAAAACGCAGAGTTCACTTTGTTATCTGCACTTACAGGTAATATCCGTGTACTACAGTTTTTCCTGGCGCCGACCGGACATGCATCCTCCCAGAAACCAATCTCCAGACAGACGTGTCGCCGAAATTTTATTTTATAGCCGGGCAAACGTAGCGACCGCGCGCACTGCCTGCCCGTGCTGTGACAGGCCATTACCCTCCTTTGCGGCGTGGGGCGCCCCTCGCCCCCGAGTCAGGTTGTAGCTGTGGCTGACTGGTATCCATCCGCGCCTCCCGAGCGGGGGGCCCGGGTTCGACCCCCGGCCGCGGCAAAAATCTTTGCTTTTTTCCAAAAAAACCTCCCTGAACGTGCCCTTTAAATTCATCGGTAAAACCATTCATGGGTAAAACGACTCGAAATATCACATTTTGGCTGTCAGGATTATGGTTGTCGGGATGCTGGCTGTCGGCATTTTGGCTGTCGGGATTATGGCTGGAATTCCTCGTGCTAGTGAAACGTGACGCGACGCGCTCTGCGTTGCGTGCCTTGTGATCAATCTTCAAACTGTTGGACATCATGTTTTTCTGGTTCCGAAGGCCTTGAATTTCAGCCCTCGCCGAACTCGTCCAGCTGGTCGCTGCGCAACTCGGCGGAAGGTACGTTGGCAACCAACAGCTTGCCGTACAAGCCGTATCGCTAACTATCGTACTTTTAAACGGAGATCGGCCATAAAATCGTTGGTAATTAATTTCAACACCATAACAAATTATCAAAGGCATAAAACAAACCATAAATTTTTTATTCTGAAAATTAATTTCGCCAAAATTCCAAAACTTTATTCCCGATTTGTTTCCACTTTTTCTGCTTTCCAAGGCTTACCTGCTCGCGCCACATCCCTTTTAATGCATACCTTCTAAAAGTTATAATTTGTTGACTCAGAAGGGCTTTTTGCACTTATCGCCCTCTCTCTCGCTCTCTCTCAGCTTCTCTCTCACTCTCTTTCTCCCTCTCTCTTTCCTGTCCCCTCAAATTGCGCTGGTACATGTGTATTTTGCGCGGGGCAGAAGTCTACCGTACCATTACGCTTCCTATTTACCGCACATTACCCAAATTGTCTTTTTCTAGGACACAAAAAAGACAGGCACACGCAGCCCGGAACCGCCTGACAATTACGGTCATGTTTAAGGGACTCTAGAGAATAGATTTTAGCAAAAAACAGTCATAATAACATTTTCACGATCAGACTGATCTCAGATGGGCTTGCGATTGGTTACGGGGTTACGGTACGAATGCTTCTGAATTGAAAAGTTTTCATCAAAATACCTAATTTTTTGGAACTTAAATTCCTTAACTTTCGACTCACACCGTGTCAGACATATCAACTATAATAAAAAAGTAGCGGTGTCCGTCTGTCTGTCTGTCTGTCTGTCATGTCCCAGATTCAACTCGAAGGGGAAAGGAGCTAGAGCTTAGGTCTCTTCGGATTCGGATAGAGCGTGGTCAGAAACCCCGAAACTGATAAAAAAATTATGAAAAACTTTTAGTTTAAATTATTAAAATTAACTTTGAAAGTTTTTCCTTAGTAAAAGGGGTGGGGGACGGAGGTTGGGGTGATTTTGGACATAGTGAGCCAGGTGGCGCGCGTTTCGTGGATGAAAATTTTCACGGGGGATTTCATTTCTTTTTTTCTCTCATTCCATCCGGTCGGTCGTTATTTTTGTTTTTTAAGGGGATTTCGGGCTAGGGGAGGTATTTTAAACCATCAGGAAGGTATTTAGGTAGTTTTTGAAGGGGATTTCAGCCATGGGGGGTATCTGAAGCCATCAGGAAGGTATTTAGGTAATTTTTGAAGGGGATTTCAGCCATGGGGGGTACCTGAAGCCATCAGGAAGGTATTTAGGTCGTTTTTGAAGGGGATTTCGGCTATGGGGCGTATTTGGAGCCATCAGGAGTTTTCTAAGTAGTGTTTTAACGGGGGTTTCGGCTATGGGGGGTATCTAAAGCCATCAGCACGGATATTGATAAAGTTAGGGAAGGAATGTGGTGGTGTAGAATATGGAAGGTAGCCCGAAGGCCAGCCGATTACAGCCGCGACGCGGCTGTAATCGGCTGGTATTTTTAGATAAGGATTCAAAAAATCCCAAGGAGCTGCTGCTAGCGTGCCTGGAACAACCATCTTTTGCACATCGTGTTGAAAATAAAAACTGAAAAAATTGAATAAGCTTCGAGTTCGATGTTATCGGCTTATTTTCAAAATGTCGAAATTCATAATGTCGAAACTCATAATGTCGAAATTCATAATGTCGAAATTTCATAATGTCGAAATGTCAGAATGTCGAAATTTCATAATGTCGAAATTTCATAATGTCGAAATTTCATAATGTCGGAATGTCAGAATGTCGAAATGTCATAATGTCGAAATTTACATAAGCTAAAATTCCCGGTAAAGTCCCCGAATTCTAGGCAAAAAAATGTTGCCGTGGAATAAGATAAAAAAATAGAATGGGGAAAAATTTTTTTGGCTAGGATTTGGCGGTTTCACCGGTAATATTAGCCTATGTAAATTTCGACATTCTGAATTTCGACATTATGACATTTCGACATTATGAAATTTCGACATTGTGAAATTTCGACATTATGAAATTTCGACATTATGAAATTTCGACATTATGAAATTTCGACATTATGAATTTCGACATTATGAGTTTCGACATTATGAATTTCGACATTATGATACCAATTCTATGTTATCTTGTGATATTTCTGGCACAAAATACTTTCACTAATCCGTTTCTCTACATGACATAATTCATACGGTATGACTACACCCCAAATTTATCGGCCAGTGTTTTATAGCTTTTCCATTAAAAGGTGCTCAACCTCCTTGGCCAAGTGGGCCCAGACCTCGATCATCAAACGTTATAAAGTAGCTTTTTTACTGCTTACGGAAAAAATTGATGTTTCAAAGCAGTCAGGAAGCCTGAGAATTAACCCCTTTAAGAAGGCTGGATCTCGACTCTCTTAAATAGCTATGTGGTATTAGATTAACTCCAAAATACGTTGTTCAGCTTAAAAATGCTACTTCTACGCAAGTGTGGATTCCATGTCCCTTTAAATCGTCAGTCTAATACCGAACCGATGTTTTCCATAGGTTTTAAAAATCGTATCTTCATCTCCTGGCTGACCTCATTGACCTCGTGGAAAAACTCCCAAATTTTAAGTGCGGCTTTCCTCAATTTCGGCAACAAAACACCTAACAGAAAAAGCTAAAAAACCCGTACTTTCGACCAAATTTTGAAGCGAAAAATGACAATTAGATGGCATGGCGATCCTTGAAAAATTGGCAATACAGGCGGACAATTAGACATGATCATTATTCGCTTTTCCCCCACGTTTTCGCCACATTCGAACTTACCGGATGGTCATTTCTGCACGCGGCGTTCTGAGCTTTTCCCTGCTGGATAAGCGGCAATTTGGCCTCGAAATTACCGTTTTTCAACGCCTAATCGGTCGTTAATAGGTAGTGCTGGATTTTCGTGAGGTATCCACTGACGGCACACGACTACAATCAAGTTGCATTTCAACAGTGTTGAAAAGTTGAAGTTTGGGACCGGATGGCTAGGCTCCATTTTTCTGTAACCCGTTCTCAATGAATTTTACTCTGTGCCACTTTGCATGCAACTTCCGTCATTCTGTCCGGTGGATATCAAGAGGGGAAGGGTCTTAAGTAGGGTTGGTCACGAAAAGAGCGGGAGCTGGGAGCGGGAGCTGATTTGCGAGCCCCGCTCAAGAGCGGCAGCGGGAGCTGAAAATCCTTCGCTCCCGCTCAGCTCCGGCTCTTGAGCCGGCTCTTTTGGAAAAGAGCTAGAGCCCACCCCCGCTCAACTCAAACCGGATCCTGCAAATCAGATATCTATGCAAATAAGGCAACGTAAGGCCAAAAATACTCAATTTTTTTGGAATTTTGGGAGATTTGCATAAATAACTAATTTTCAGCATCCGGTGGGGTAGAGCGGGGTTTGGCTTCCGCTCTTTTCCAAAAGAGCCGGCTCAAGAGCTGGAGCTGAGCGGGAGCTGAAAATTTTCAGCTCCCGCTCGGCTCCTGCTCCCGCTCAGCTCCGGCTCAGAGCCGGCTCAGAGCCGGCTCGCAGAATGACCAACCCTGGTCTTAAGCTACGTATGATACGTCATTAGGAGCTTAATCCCGCGATGACTGCACGCATATCATATTTTGCAAATTATGCGATTTTCGATATAAAAATTAAGTTTTGTAAAATCTTCGGGAACCTTCTTCGTAGGAAAAATTACCAGGCACCAGGAGTTCCGGCAGCCTATATAATGCAGTGGAGAGCTCGATTTTCGTTTGTTGTCAGCGGAAATCCAAGAATTATGCAAAGTTAAGTATTCGTGAGATCAGACGGGGCCAGGGTTGAAAAGTCGCGAAGCGGCTCTTCAACCCTGGTAACTGTTTTAAAATACGTCTTGCTCAAATCAAAAAAGCTAATAAAAATAGGATTCCCTCAAAGGACCGGTTTTATTTTGTCGAAAATTAGTAATACCGAACATTATTTTGTCGAAAATTGGGATCCTGAAATGAAATGAAATTCCTTTTGTCGATAAACTTGACGAACATTCACTTTTTCGAATTTTGTACGCGTTAGAGACACAAATAATTTCGGATACAAAAATTCGAAAAAATGACATTTCCAAAAACTTCGACAAACTGCAATTTCGACGAACTTCGAAAAAAACTTTCCAGTGCAAGCGAGCGTGACTGAAATATTTTGCCTTCTCGGTTGCTTTATTTCTCTAGTTCACGATCTCAAACCCCACCGTAACCCAAACCACGAGGTAAATTTTTTTCTGAACTTTTCGTGTTTGCAACGTCAAATAAAAACTTCAAAACCCGCAGCCAAAATCAGTTCTTTTTCTGCTCTGGGCGATTCAGAATACAGGGATTTTGCTTCATTTCCGAATCCCGGAGGATTGGTTCATTTGCAAAAAAAATCCGTTTGCAACAGCCACGTACTTTGGCATGGCTTGGCCGTGTTTTTAGGTATTTTTGGCTGCATAATTAACACTCACATACCCGCACATCCCCAGGGATGCGATCTGTGCACCATAAAACGCCTTCAAAAATCTGGGGTTTGAGGTAATGCGTCATATCGCTGCAGTATAGTTTTGGTAGCAGATCCGATCCGCCTTTACAAGGATCACGTTTTCTGGATTCTGCGGTAATTCTATGCTGTTTTGCAAATTGCCCGTGTCCTCGAAAGCCCCCGGGAACGGTGATGCGGCAGCTGAAAAGCGCGTTTTCTGGAGGCTTACGGACTCGTTCCGCCTTTTTGACTACGGTAGCGGGAACATCGAGTTTTGGTCTTTAGAAATCATGTTTTGCGATTTTTCCGTCTCCCTAGCACACTCTCCCGCTCTCTCGTTTTCGCGCTCTCTTTCTCTTTCTCTCTTTCTTTCTTTCTCTTTCTCTCTCTCTCTCTCTCTCTCTCTTTCCTCGCTCTCTCTTCTCCCTTTCTCTCGATCTCGAATTATTTTTGGTAAAACTTCGCATAACTAAGATAATTAAAAACTTCTTCGTGCCATTATGTTACATTATTCATAAATAAGCAAATGCAAGCCTTTAGGGTTTTGAAACTGGGAAGTTCATGCTTAGAGCCATTTCCCGCCCAGGCTACACCCAGAATCCCACCGTAAAAATTTTTTTTCGTACCACCCAGGGGTCCGAACTTTCACATGCAAATTAGGTAATGCCATCAGACCTTTGAACAGGACAAAAACAACAACTTCAACGCAGAGAACGAGCAGAACAGCACAAGGAACGCCCAAATATTGTAGCTTCTTGACACAGCATTGGAACAGCCGGAAGGCTACCCAAAATAAGCCTAAAAAATGAAAATGGCGGAGCTTTGCAGCCGAAAGTCGGTCATTTTGTACCTGGGGTGTCGAGCTGTGTTCAAAAATTTGCCTTGAGTTTGTGCGGCCCTGGGAGACTATTTGTTTTTGGGCGCTTGTTGACGCCTATGCTTTTGCGTGAGACTAAATTTGGGGTCCACATCGGCGTTCAAGACCGGGCGGCAGTTTAATCAAGCTTATTTTTCCTTTCCACGTTTGCAATTTTTTTTTGGATTTTTTAAGTAAAAATGAGTTTTCTTAATGAAATTTACGGTAGTCGCCTAGAACCCGACGGTCCCAAATCCCGATGGTAAAGTTCCGACATAGAAAATCCCGAAAGCCAGCATCGCTGTTGCAAACGAATCCGCGTACAAGCCAGTGTCAAGGCTATTTCCAGATTTGGTTGCTGGGATTTTAGCTGTCGAGATTTTGGCTGTCGGGATTTCGGATTTCATGATTGTCGGGATTATGCCGAAATTGGGTATGTAGGCATATCCCAAATCGAACGTAAACGTTTTATGCTGCAACTTGATTTCGTGAAAGCCAATCCGCAAGCCCATTTTTCTTTACCGCTTCGGTACGCTACCGTATTCTGGTTTGAAAAGGTACGGTCATTGCAAATTGTTGGCCAGCAGAAGTTCAGATGTTTTTACACCTTACCCTAATCATCGCCGGATTCGAACCTTGTTACCCCGACTTCTATTTTTTGCTCTTTAGTCTCGGGATTTCATTAGTTGAATTTTTATTTTCTGGCAGGCATTCTGGGCGCGCGGTGGTTCTAAAAGCCCCTAATTGCCCCGTCCGGGGACTCTGAGAAGTGTACCCGGATGGATGGGGTGTACCCAAAATGGCCATGTACTTACGGGCTGGCATGTAGGTTCAGGGACGTAGCGTAATACCGGCCCCGGGGGGGCCCGGGCCCCCCCGAAATCGGCCGGGGCCCGAAAATTTCATAAGGGGGGACCCTTATGATTGTTATTTTCTCAAAAATTTTGCTGCCTGCGGCGCTATTTTTTCACGTTTTTACTGCTATTTGTAGAGCTATATAGTCTTTTTTTTCCAAAATTTTTCGCCTGCGGCGCGGTTTTCTCGTTGATTTTTCAGTTTTTCGAAAAAAATTTTTCGGGGCCCTCCCCGAAATTTTTTTCTGGCTACGCCCCTGTGTAGGTTCCCAAGAAATTACTACCAAATAGCTAGAGATGGACATACAGTCCGTCAGGTCGAAGCCACCACCGTTTACCCAAAAAACAAGCAATTTTCCTTGGGCACCAGAAACCTGGGAAAATATATTTGCATAGAGAAAGCTATTTTATTGCCGTAGAGACCGGATAAATACCGTAGTCCTATTCTTCTGCATCTTTCTGTAGTTCCAATATTTTTCGAAAAGTTTCAACCGTTTTTTCTAGTTTAAAGGAGCAGTCAAGGTGTAATTCTCAAGTTTTGGGCTACAAATTGCCATTGGGCCCTGTTAACGCCGCGACACGCAGCGCGCAAGTGTACTTTCCGTCGCGTACTCGATTGAAATGCTGCAAAACGAGCAAGCGGCGCGTGCGCGTTGCGTGTCGCGGCTGTCTACAAAACTAATGATATCCATGGCTAACATTTACCGCTCCTTTCAACGTTCTGTTTAAAATATACAATTTCATGGATTTTAGCTTTTTCAAGTTTTAAAAATATGATTTCCGACGTGTCTTGATTTTCTTATGCCTAATGAGCGTATTTTTAGTGAACTCTTTGACTAATTCCTGCAAAAATGATATCCGAAGAAACGACCCGCTCCCTGCATATGATTGAGGGTCCAATTGGACTTCTTTTAAACCTCCTGGCCCTCTACCTGATCGCAACAAAATCGAAGAATATGGGAGGAAAATATCCACATCTCCTGTTCGCTTTCTGCAGCTGTAATTTGGCGCTGATCGTTATTGATATGTTGACATTACCGGTAAGCTGGAAGGCTTCAAGGGCAGGCTAGCAGGAAAAATTTGGAAAGCCCAAAAATAAATTCTTTTGGACCTTTGGAAACTAGCACTTATAAAGAAAGAAGCAAACTCTGTTATTGCACCATAATTTTTTAATTGTAGAACCGGGATCTTTTTAGGCAAATCTCGTTTCCGGTCAAACTTACTTGCTGTTTGCGCACCGAACCGTACTTGGGGATCGCCAGCTGACGTATTGGCTTCTTTTGGCCTATTGCTGCACTTTCGCCCAAATCTTAGTGCTTTTGATGTTCCAGTTTATGTATCGCTACTCTATTGTGGATAGGTAAGTATCGGAAAGTAACGCTTTCACCATTTTTAACCAGAAATTCCTTCTTCGGGAAGCAAAAAGTACCGCGGGTTGTTTGCCTTTGCGTCGGGCTGTCGGTGTTGGTTTGGTGAGTATATTTTATTGAAATCTGAGCAAGTTTTGTCTTTGAAGGGACAGAGACAGCAAGCGGAATTGGTAAAAGTTAAATTTTTGTGGTACATTTTAAATATGCGATCGTTACAGTACCCTCTGGACGCTCGACGTGCACATTTTTAACAATGCCGTCACCGCGGAACCTTCGGTTTATATGGCGCTGAGCAGCGCGTTTAGTCAAACATTTGGAAAGGACCTTGTTAATTTTGCTGCTACTGGGAATAATTTTTCGGTAAGCTTGAACTCCTCTCTCTCTCTCTCTCTCTCTCTCTCTCTCTCTCTCTCTCTCTCTCTTCTCTCTCTCTCTCGCTCCCTCTTCCTCTCTCTCTCTCTCTCTCTCTCTCTCTCTCTCTCTCTCTCTCTCTCTTGTCGAAACTCCAATAATTTCATTTTTTCAGCCATCTCAAAATCCGCACTACCTCCGCACCTACCTGGTGACCATCTTCCTGGTGGTAATCCTGGGATGCACTTGGAATATCATCATCTTGGCCGGATACAAAATCTATCGACTCCTCTCACAGAATGTAATGGCGAGCAAAACGACAAAGCGGCTGCAGAAGGAGCTATTTCATGCTCTGGTAATTCAGGTAATTTGGAAAGTTGGTGCTCAAATCACTAAAGAACAATCTAAGTCGATAATAATTTAACAGATTTCCCACCTTTAAAATAATGATAAAATTCGATAGGGCGCCCCGGGCAAGTCGGGATAAATTGAGGCAAGCTAGCAGCGATCATTTGGGACAAAAAAATTGAGGTGAAAACTTGTTAAAACGTAATTTTTAGCTCCTGATCCCGCTCTTCTGTAGCTACATCCCGTTGGGATGCATATTTTCGTCAGCCATGCTTGATCTACCGATCGATATTTCTTTCGCCTGTATTCTTGTGCTTATTGACCCGATTCTGGAACCCATCGCCATTATTTACTTGATCAAGTGTTATAGGTGAGAATTTCGAACTTTATTTGGCCGCTTGCGTCTCAACTTTTGCTATTTTCTGGTCAAAGTCAACAACGCTAGTAGTATAATGATTTTAATACGCTTAAATTGAATTGTGCCTTTTAGAAGGGCCATTATCGGGTGGATTCGGAAGACGAAGGAAGAACCGGTGGCCACGATTTCGAATACCTCCCAGTCCGGCCCGATCTCTACGACGAAGCGCCATACAAAAAATAATGAAACAAATCCGTTGACTAATTGATTGTTGTCTTGTTACTTGATTAATACTGTATAAACTCTATTAAACACGTCAAAAATAAACAATGCAATCGTCGAAAAACTTGGCGTCTCAAATACCTAACTCTTCTTTTTTTAAATTCGATTTATCCTACTTACTTGAAATACAGCGTTCTACTTTATTTCTCAGGTAAAAAACGAACACTTCCCTAACTTTTTAACCTTTGTTATTGTTTTTGGAGATGAGTTCCCTGTTTCCCGAGGATTTTGCTGAAATCCTATACAACATCGTTTGTCCGGTGGCAATTTTTCTAAATTTAACAGCACTGATTTTAATTGCTAGAAAATCGAGTAAATCCGTAGGTCGCTATTCCTATTTTCTTTTTGCTGCGGTTACCAGAGGCTTCGAGTTTAAAAACGACATTTGGAGCGTCTTGTAGTCAAAATCCGGCTGCCCACCCCCCCAACTTCATTAGCACCGGAAAAGCTATAACATTTCAATTCTAGTTTTCAGCTCTCAAGTAATTGATTCTAGTCTTCATTACGAAAATGCGAAATTTCCATTACAAGCGATTTTGAAGGTACGTCATTAGTGTGCGGGCGCCTGGGCTTATCACGCAGATGTGAGCGCGGAACATCAGCGCGTGCCGTTGGCCAGCAGTTGCGCCGGAACCACTTTTTGTACACGCCAGCTAGAAAAATCTTCTATTTGTCGACAAAACAATGCGTCTCCCAACCAGCAAGAAGCCCAGCGTCAAGAAGCGCCAAGCTCCGGAATACGTGAAATTCTTTCAAGGTAAGATTTTATTGTTTTTATTAGACTTTGAGACTTGGCTCGCGTTTAGAACTGCGGTTTTTTGAGAACGTCTCTTGGTTCAATCGTTCATTTCAACGAGCGATCGAAAAAGCGAAAAAGCTTGCTGCGACTTTTTGGAACATCGAATTTTTTGGCTACACTTTACTTCCCCCCCAGCCGGAATGTTTTGGCTGTAACTTTTTTATTTTACATTAATATAGGCTCAAATTAAAACTCTTGGTAGATTTTTCGACGATCTATCGAATCACGTTGCAAAAATCGTAACAAAATAAGCGAACATACCGAAAACTTGGAGTACCTCGGCTATGCGGGGGGGGGGGGGCAAACCGTACTTAAGCCTTTTGAACATCGATGTTTTTTTTAATTTAGCCGAAATCGGTTTTTATTTGTCCAGGATAAGGATTGAATTAGATTAACTCGGAACCCTACAACCGGATTTCAGCAAACCGCGAAGCTCTCCGTTGTGCAGCTTCCTGGTCCTTGGAATCGCTGCGGTGCCTCGGCTGCGGTGAGTCATTCGCCGAACAGTCGCCACTGAACCCAATCCGCGTCTCCGACGCCCACTTCTGCGAGCAGTGCGCCGCCCGAGACAGTTGCAAGTTGAAGATTCCCCTTCACGGAGTCTCGGCAGTGATCGGATCGGCCGATCTCGTGCCCGGAAGGACTGGTTATGTGATAGGTATTTTTTCCAGGATGTTGACATATCGTTATTCTGTTTACATAAATATCGTTTCATACAAAACCGACCAATTTTCGCTAATCCTACCTTATATAATTTGGTCGCGTATCTTTGTCTGTGTGTGTGTCCGGCCGACACTTTCGAGGCCCGATTTGAGGCCCTTCCCGTGTCCAAAATGCCCCAATTCTTCGTCACTAGGAGGAATCGACCCTCCTCTTTCCGATCGCGTTTTCAGAATCCCGAGAAAATACAAGTTTACAAAGTTAAAGCCGGTTTTATTCATTTTTGGGGGTCCGGGAGGCCTAATTTGCATAATGTGAAAAAATAGGAATTTGCTCATTCTTGCAAGTTGCACGCGCCCGTGTGGTCGTCTCTTTGGAGCTGCCTCTTGATGCCTTTCCTTCCCCTGCCCCGGGCAGTCCTCTTGAGGCATAAAACGGGTGTTTGGCGCGTGCTACCAAGCATTGCATGGTGTAGTGGTTAGCGCTTCGCCGTGCTAATCTAACCATCGGTGGTTCGATCCTCGGATATCTTAGTTGTTTTGCTTTTTGCTCGGAATGTGCGTTTTCGAGTGGATTTCCGTGTCGGGACGTTATTATGAAGTTAGTCATTCAAGCCGCAGCCTATAGAATGAAGCTACCCGCTCAAGCATGCGCCGCAGGCCAAGGAAACAAGCTAACTGCTCAAGCTAGCGCGGCAGAGTTTGGAACGACGCTAGCCGCTTAAACTGGCTCCGCAGGCTTTAGAATGAAGCTAGCCGCTCAAGCTAGCGCCACAGGCTTTAGAACGAAGCTAGCCGCTCAAGCTAGCGCCGCAGGCTTTAGAATGAAGCTAGCCGCTCAAGCTAGCGCCGCAGGCTTTAGAACGAAGCTAGCCGCCCAAGCTAGCGCCGCAGGCTTTAGAACGAAGCTAGCCGCTCAAGCTAGCGCCGCAGGCTTTAGAACGAAGCTAGCCGCCCAAGCTAGCGCCGCAGGCTTTAGAACGAAGCTAGCCGCTCAAGCTAGCGCCGCAGGCTTTAGAACGAAGCTAGCCGCTCAAGCTAGCGCCGCAGGCTTTAGAACGAAGCTAGCCGCTCAAGCTAGCGCCGCAGGCTTTAGAACGAAGCTAGCCGCTCAAGCTAGCGCCGCAGGCTTTAGAACGAAGCTAGCCGCTCAAGCTAGCGCCGCAGGCTTTAGAACGAAGCTAGCCGCTCAAGCTAGCGCCGCAGGCTTTAGAACGAAGCTAGCCGCTCAAGCTAGCGCCGCAGGCTTTAGAACGAAGCTAGCCGCTCAAGCTAGCGCCGCAGGCTTTAGAACGAAGCCAGCCGCTCAAGCTAGCGCCGCAGGCTAAAGAGGGAGATAACCGCTGAAACTTGCGTCGCGGGCTTTATCTCGAAGCAAACCGCCCAAGCTGGCGCCGCTGGATAAGGACCTGGCCGATCAAGCATGCGCCGCAGGCCTAATAACGACACTAGCGATTTAAGCTTGCGCCACATGTCAATACAAAGAGGTTTGCATGGGAGATGCGATTCTTCAGGCTAACGTTAAGTGGAAGGGCACTCGATTCATAGGGCCTAGACGGGGTCCAGCGGGGGAGAGTCGCGAAGCGGCTCCTCCCCCGCTGGTACTGAAATGTTTTTAGACTTTTAACCAGGGTTGAAAAGCCGCTTCGCGACTTTTCAACCCTGGCCCCGTCTGCTCCCGGGATATTCTTGGCTATGCATAATTTTCCCACATGCGGACGACGAAAAATGAAAAATGCTCCCTCTCTTCCATTATATAGGCTACCGCGACTTCCGGTGCATGCTAATTTGGTCCTAACAAAGAGGGGTGTCGGATTTTTCAGGAAAAACTGAATTTTAATATCGAAAATAGAAGATTTTTATAAATATCATTTGCGTGCAGTCATCTCCAGGCCATTACGCACCTAATGACGTATCAAACATACCCCTAACTTTCTCCCTTCTTGAGATACTGCTGGAACACGGTGACGGAAGTTGCATGCAAATGCACACACACACACACACAGACACTATTTTTTTATATTAGACTTTTAATGCCTGAGCTCTTAATAGACAAAACAATAAATTACATTGAATTTATTAGGGTTTAAAAACAATTTCTATATACTTTTTTTCAGGTGCTAAGCTCGATTTCCCGAAATGTCCGGTGTGCAACGAGGAATTTGGCTTCTCCGCCGAGCGCTTGCCGGTTGCTGTGACGTTGGCGAAGGTCGGTAATGCTTCAGAAAGCTAATTTAAGTTACACTTATTACTTTTTTTTGATTTTGCCTACCGGAGAAGTATTTCTAGGCTCTTTTATTGGGAAAGAAAATGTCTCTGCGTCTCGCCGTTGCGCGCGTTCTCTGCCCCGTTGGCCATTTGCCAAAAATTCGATCAGGGGTAATCGACCGATGCCGTCGGTATCCCCTTAAGGTCAAAACGTGACGCCTTTCTATTAAAAAAGGCAAATATGGCATTTTTCAGTCAAAATTTTAACGTTTTGGGGAGTTTCTTAGTTTTCAGAATAGTTTTACCTCTGGAATATAACTAAATTTATCAAAAACCCGATCAGAATTTGGCATATCTCGGCGTTGCGGATTCTTTTACTTTTCCAGCTTAAGACACTTACTTATCTTTGTTCTCGAGACCAAAGAAGTTTTCGATGAAAATTCTATATTTTGGTCAAGGTTTCAAATTCTGAACATTTGCCATGGTGATTGCGGTCCAAATTGGCTAAAGGGCAAGATAAGAATAGTGTAGTTCTCTTAACGATTGCGAAAATATCTAAAAAAATCCAAATTTAGGTCCTCTGCACGACTTGCCACAACAACTCCACGCCCAAACCGTCTCGCTGCCTGGCCTCCACCCAATTTTGGCTCGAGTTCCTGATAGATTTCGCGAGGGCCGCTTTTTCGCGCCGAACTTTCCAAGATCTCGGCAAGCCCGCCCCGAGTGTAGATGAAGATGCCTGCCAAGGGTCTTGCGGAAAGAGCTTCCACTACGACGATCTGCTCTTCTGCGCCGATTGCCAGGCAATCATCTGCGGATTATGCCAATTCAAAGCCCATCGCAACCACAAGGAGGTCGAGCCGCTTATGCTCCGAAAATCGGCCCAAATGAAGCTGGAGGTCCAGGGGAAACTGGATAACATTTATGAAGGTCTACCCAAGAATTTAGAATGGGCTCACGAGCACCTTTTCGCCTCGATAAAGGGGCTGATTTCGGCGTCGGAGAAAAGCCTGGAAACCCTGGATGGTTGCGAAAAATTCGAAAAAGCCAAGGAGACGGTAGAAACGGCTGAGAAAACGGCAGAGCAATTTGAGAAGCTCTGCGAGACCTATCTGTCGACGGTGCGGATGCTGGACGAGAAGGTGAAGCAGATGAAGGAAGGGCTCGAAACGTAAAAATGCAAGCCTATGGTTTATTTTGTATTTTGTTCTACTTTGTATGCTGTTTTTTTTTGTTGATAAATGCATAATTTCAAGAATATAATTGCATGATTCCGTCTTCCGACGAAATACCCGACTAAAACATTTTTCTTTGATAAATCGGGATTTTTGTCATTTTAAGAAACCCTTGGCATAGTTTTAATGCTTGTTTTAGAGTAGTTTTCGGCTATTTTGACGACTCATCAGCTCTTACCTTTTTGCAAGGTATAGAAAGAATTCTTCTTTTATTCACTGAAACCCGAACCAAGTTTGGTACTTCAGAAACCTGATAGTTACGATCGAAACCTATTATTTGGAGGTGGTCATGCCATCATTATTGTCCGGCACGGCCCACACGCGCTTTCAAATAGCACCGGTTCTTAGTGTGTGTTCTGATTTTCGGATTTTCCGTCTTGTGAAAACACGTACCATCAAAAAAACATCCAAATCCGGTCCGGTAGGGCCCACGCTTGCAAGCCGGCTTTTTTTGCAGTCGGAAGCCCATAATTACGCGCACTAGTATAGGCTGCAAAACTAAATAAATGGTACGATAAAGTTTTTGGGATGAGTATTGGTGCACCCGTTTTTGAAGCTCATTAAGCAAACAAATTTCGATAGGCGAACATCCGCACTAACGCGTCGCGACACAAGAATTTTCGCGTAGAAGGGATCGCAGCGCGCCAGTCTGGGGCGGTGCGGTGCCGCCAAAAAGATTATTCTTTCGGACTGTGGAACGGGTATACGACGCCGGTGCGTTGCGGTTTTACGCGTTTTGGCAAAGCGAGTCCGAAGGGGGGGGGGTTAGAATGGGAAAATTAATTTTTGATTGTTGATCGCGAGAAATTGCTAAAGATGTGAAAAATTTTCTAAATAGTTGCGCTTTTTTAAAACATTTTTATACATTTGTACAAAAAATCAAAATTACGAAACTTTTAATTATTTTCCGTAAACTTTTATATGGGAAAACCGTTCAAAATGCTATAAAAATTATGCATAAACCAGATGGTTACAGTCGCTTCGCGACTGCAACCATCTGGCTTTCGGGCTACCCTACATGTCCCACTCCACCACATCCTTTCCCACCTCCATCAATACCCCCGATGGCCAAAATCCCCTTCAAAAACTACCTAAATACTTTCCCGATGGCTTCAGATACCCCCCCAGGGCTGAAATCCCCTTCAAAAACTACCTAAATACCTTCCCGATGGTTTAAGGTACCTCCCCTAGCCAAAATCCCCTTAAAAAACAAAAATAACGACCGACCGGATGGATTGAGAGAAAAAAAAGAAATGAAATTCCCCGTGAAAATTTTCATCCACGAAACGCGCGCCACCTGGCTCACTATGTCCAAAATCACCCCAACCTCCGTCCCCCACCCCTTTTACTAAGGAAAAAACTTTCAAAGTTAATTTTAATAATTTAAACTAAAACTTTTTCATAATTTTTTTTATCAGTTTGGGGGTTTCTGACGGCGCTCTATCCGAATCCGAAGAGAGCTAAGCTCTAGCTCCTTTCCCCTTCGAGTTGAATTCGGCTTCACACACACGGACGGACACCACAGCAAAATTATTATAGTTGATTTAAAATGTAAAATGGCGTCGTCCCCGGACAGCAGAAAATCACATAAAAATTAGATTAGCCCATCCACCGCGAAACCCTCCTAAATGCCACGTCGAATCACTTCCGCTTGATACATTGCTCTGCGCTTTTTACGCCAGAACACAACGCATGTACCAAAATGTCCTCAATCCCGCAATTCGGGTGACCGTAGCATGTGACCGTACCAGGTTCCTCCAAAAAATGCGATATTACGCGGCCTCCTAAAAACTTTTTTGCTGCCTCGTCTAATCACCAGGTTCAACAGCTCAAAATCATTCCTGTCACCGTCCCTTTAATACCCACCCTCTCTTTAGAGAGGCAAGTCGCCATCCGGACCTACACCTCTGCGCTTACCTTGTAATCAAATTCGCTCCGGAACCGCGAATTACCGTATTCCCGGTATCGTCAAGTTCGGCCGGCCGCACTTCGGAATCTCTAAACGCCTCCATTAGCTATTAATTGGGGGGTTTAATCGGCTACTGAAGCCCCCAAATCTTTTCCGGGCCTTTCCTCCGTACGCATTCGAATTTTTACCGGGTTCACGATGAACTACGCTACTGAGCAGTTTGTACTGTTCACCATTTATCTATTAGTGCTGATTGGATACCATATGCATGGAATTCATCGGATACTGTACCACGAGGAACACATCGGGAACACCAATCGAATTTCGAATATTTTCCTGAGGGTTACGGTGGGTTTTTCGAAGCTTTGATGATGTCTCCTGCATTTTCTCGCGTACCCTGTCGGCTAGTTTTGCAAACTGAATTTTCTAACCTTTTACGCACCGTATAACCGTTGAAAATCTGGTGGCCTTGAAGTTTACCAACGGTGACATACCTATCCTGTTAAGATTTGCCTCGTAATCCTCGTCAACGCTCCGACACTCAATTTCTACTTCTACAAGGACAACTACGACTACGAGTACGTCTGGCAGATGCAGGTCAGAATTTCGGGTATTGGGCTCTTACTGTAGCCGTTTTTTGTTGACCGTGGGATTTCGATACGTGAGATAGCACATTTTGTGCAGAATTTTTCGCTGATTCCGAATCCGTTTTCAAAAGTTGCGGGACCCCTCTAGATAAAAAGTTACAGCCGGTTTTCTACCCCAAATGACCGAAAATTACAAACTTTAAATCCTTATAAAAAACACGTGGAACATTTTGTGGGATACAGCAATACAGCAATCCCTGGGGGTAAAAAACGTGCTCTTTCGAATGGGCTACCTCACGAACCCGTAGCTCAAAATTCACAAAATTTCAAAAATTGGCCATTGGTCCACCGAAAAACTTTTTTCATGAATTTTGAGCGACGGGTTCGTGAGGTAGCCCATTCGAAAGAGCAGGTTTTTTTACCCTAGGAGTGCTGTATTTTATCCCACAAAATGTTCCACGAGTTTTCTATATGGATTTAAAGTTTGTAATTTTCGGTCATTTGGGGTAGAAAACCGGCTGTAACTTTTTATCTAGAGGGGTTCCGCAACTTTTGAAAACGGATTCGGAATCGGCGAAAAATTCTGCACAAAATGTGCTATCTCACGTATCGAAATCCCACGGTCAACAAAAAACGGTTACAGTTAGCAAGGGGGGGATTTCTACCAAGGGCAAAACTAATTTCTTATTTTTATGACGTGCATGCCGGTTGTAGAGAATGTGTTTTAGAGTGCTTTTGTTAATCTTGACGTTTTTTGACCAGAAAGTAAAAAAAGCTTCGCACAGGGTTACTGAGAAAAATTTTGTCTCTCCCCCTTTGTAACCGTTGCATTTTTTTACTGTCCCCATCCCTTTAAAACACAATCTTTCAGGATTGGATGCGGCACAATTACACTTTTTGCGTAGTGATCACCTTTATCAACTCGGCCACCCTCACGATTCATTTCCTAGCGGCCGTGGTCTGGTCCGTGCTCCACACCTATCTTGTCATCTTCAAAAAGGAGGTCGGCTCCTGCTCATTTTCATTGCTGGTCATTGATTTTTGATTAAAGTAATTAGGTTATTTTTCTTATTTTTCAGTGGAACGTGATTCTCGACCTACTCATCATTTTTGTGCCGCTCGCTCCGGCGATAGGGCCAATTTTTTACCTATTCACGATCAAGCGCCCTAATCTTCCGGGAAGCAGTCCAGACGTCTATGACGTGCCTACGGTGGGTGACGGTAGCCAATTCGATGGTCTCTTTCTCTCTTCTCTCTATCTCTCTCGCTCCCTCGCTCTCTTGCTCTGTCTCTCTGTCTCTCTCTTGCCCCGCTCTCCCTCCCTCCCTCCCTCCCTCCGTCCTCCCTCTCTCTCTCTCTCTCTCTCTCTCTCTCTCTCTCTCTCTCTCTCTCTCTCTCTCTCTCTCTCTCTCTCTCTCCCGCTCCCTCTCTCGCTCTCTTGCTCTGTCTCTCTCTGTCTCTCTCTTGCCCCGCTCTCTCTCTCTTCCTCCCTCCCTCCCTCCCTCTCTCTCTCTCTCTCTCTCTCTCTCTCTCTCTCTCTCTCTCTCTCTCTCTCTCTCTCCCTTTTTCGCTCTCTTTATTTCTCCTTCTCGCTCTTTCTCTCGCCATCTCTCGAAACTGAAGCTAATTTTCTAGCAAGCCGGCAGTTATTTCAACTACTTTTGCATCCCGATATTCCAAATCTCCATGTTGGTCATTGTGCTTCTCCAAGTCTGCCAAATCATCGTCTACATGCTGCGTCATCGGATGCTCGAATCCATCTGGCCGCTGGTTCGAATCTCGGCCTGCATATTGCTGTTCTTCATGTGCTACTTCATACTGGATATTGTGGGTTTTGGGCTACTAACTCTGTGGAAAAACTATGAGACCAGTCGTTTTTCGGCTGTAACTTTTCCCCGAATCAAGCAACCATCTTGATATTTATGATTTAAGCTTCATTATGCATAAGAAACCTGCACGGAAAAACTCAAGCGGATCCGATGCGCGCAAGGTATTGTTTCGGAAAATTGACCACCTGAAGTTGTAGAAAAACTATGAGACCACTTTTTGTATTGGACGCCAAGAGTTTCCCTTGGTGTTTACTCGCCCTGTTTTTTATGGAAAACGTTTAATTTAGTCCAAAACTATACGTTTTCGTCATTGGTTATGTTTTTGCTACCCATATCAATTTTTCCAAAAAATCGATTTTTACATAGAAATTAGCTTTTAATAAAATTTCTCTGCCAAATAACTTGTATTTAAAAATTTAAGAAATACCATCCTAAAGAGCACGACTTAACGCACATTTTGGTAGGCACCACTTAACTATACAGGCCGGAATGGGGAAACTACACGTCGATGTGGGAAGTGCTCGAGGTCGCCATGCATTTGCTTGGCATTTTAACAAAGAGCCGCAGAGTCGCCAATTGCAAGTGCGAAATAGTGCTTATTGGGCCTCTGCCGAAAAAGCTTTGTATACCAAAATGTGCGTTAAGTCGTGCTCTTTAGGATGGTATTTCTTAAATTTTTAAATACAATTTATTTGGCAGAGAAATTTTATTAAAAGCTAATTTCTATGTAAAAATCGATTTTTTGGAAAAATTTATATGGGTAGCAAAAACATAACCAATGACGAAAACGTATAGTTTTGGGCTAAATTAAACGTTTTCCATAAAAAACAGGGCGAGTAAACACCAAGGGAAACTCTTGGAGTCCAATACAAAAAGTGGTCTCATAGTTTTTCTACAACTTCAGGTGGTCAATTTTCCGAAACAATACCTTGCGCGCATCGGATCCGCTTGAGTTTTTCCGTGCAGGTTTCTTATGCATAATGAAGCTTAAATCATAAATATCAAGATGGTTGCTTGATTCGGGGAAAAGTTACAGCCGAAAAACGACTGGTCTCATAGTTTTTCCACAGAGTGTATTGTTATGACGAAAAATATATCCATAACAAAGCTATTGAGGACCCTTCAAGCGTACTCTTAGCGTTGTTGAAGCGTACTGTAACGTAGTAACGTGGTGCAGGGTAGTGTAACGTAGTGTAGCGCAGTAATATCATGAGGGAACGTGCTTGTAGATGCGCTTACCGCAGAATAAGGTCGCGTACTTTAGCATAGGATGTAAGTTTCCATTATTCTCGTAACGGCCCTTAATTCCAGAGTCTCTCCGCCGATATGCAATCGCTATACAAGTACGGTACATTCGTCTGCTGCTACGCGGTGTTTCTGATACCGGTGCTGCTTGATTTCGGAAAACCCAGAAACGACGATCACGACTGATTTACGTCCAATACTAGGACAGACAATGGAAGCAATTTTGAACGCTGTATCATAAAGATTTTGTTGGTTTTACACCGAAAAGCGGCTGCAAAACGACCCTGAACTTTGCTGTCGCCGTCCCTTTAAAATTTCTTTCGCGTTTTGAGCATCTTAAACAGTAGGAAGCAGCCAGCACTTTACAATTTAACTGCTTCGCACCGACATAGCAAATGCTTTAATAGTGTTTTGAGCGCAATTGAACTATGTAAGGTGGAAAACACTAAAAAACCGGGAAAAAATTTATATGTTTATTGAAAAGTCGCCATTTATGGTCAAAGAAACGATATTTTTCGTATTTTAGGATAAGGGTTGTAGCCACTATGCAAAAAAATAGTAAAAAACAGTTCAGAACGACTTTTGTTTTCTTGATGTATTAGAATAGGATCATTGCAAAAAGTATATCTAAAATCGACTGAGTCACTTCCGCTTCTTCAAAGCAATTTTCCGCGTTCGGGTTTGATCGCGGAACCAAAATGCGGCCCAGTCCCGTAATTAGGACGACCATAGCGACCTTCCGAAAAGTGACTTTTCGCCTCCTTGCTAATCACCGGGTCCAATTCCTCCAGGGTAACTACCGGGGCCGAACAGCAACAACCCAAAAATCGGGGGCAATCCAAAGATACATAACCTATCATTAAACGTGTTTTTAGTGGCGCCACTACAGTTTAATTAGCGATTCCGGAAATAGCTTTAAAATAACTGAGAGCCAAAAGGCTCAAAATTGCTGATGACGTGATTAAAAACCCTTAGAAAATGATTGGAATAGCATAAACTAAAAAATTCTGAAAAACTGAAAATTATAAAAAACGATAAAAAAAGCGAGGAAGCGATCCCAAAATTCATGGACGCTTTCATTAAAAAACCTACCTATATATTGAAAATCCTCTTTTTCTGACAAAGATAGAAATAAGAAAAGGACTGATATCTTATGGAAATATTTTTAGCATATATTTAATTGCAAAAAATATGGGATCGATTTTTCTAAACTCAGTGTCTAGATTTGAATAATCATTTTAATTAGTAGTTAAACAACCATTTTTTATGTTTCGTAATACTCAGATTATATAACAAAATTTAAGCTCACTATTATTACGTAAAACATCACTCAAGTCTATTCACATAAGTGAATGTTGGAATAAAATAAAAGATTTCAGAAAAAAAGGGATTTTCAATTTTTTCAAAAATTCTTTCTGTCACCATCCCTTTAAAATGCATACCTACGTAAGTTGCAGTCGAATCTTACACCTTTAATCTTACCCCGTAATCAAAATCCCCCTCAAAACGCCCAATTACCGTATTCCCGGTATCGTCAGGTTCGGCTCTCCAGGCTTCCGAATTTCGAAACGCTCCCACTAATTACAGAGGCCAATGGACAACTGAAGCCCCCAAATCTTTTCCGGGCAATTCCTGTGTACGCATTAGAATTTTTACCGGGTTCGCGATGAACTACGCAACTGAACAGTTTGTACTGTTCACTGTTTATTTATTGGTGCTGATCGGCTTCCATATGCATGGTGTTCATCGGATACTGTACCACGAGGAGCACATCGGAAATACCAATCGAATTTCGAATATATTTTTAAGAGTTTCGGTACGTTTTTTGCTTTCTTAATTTTTTTATGTGATGAAGGGACACCAACACAATCAAAATTTTGCAAAACTGGATTTTAAAATGTTTTAAAAGTTTTAAAAGCAAAAATTTTGAACTGCTTTTCTTAGTTTTGGCTAGCTTCAGTAAGTTACAGTAAGGTTTTCGAAATCTAGACGGGCTTAAAGGGAGAGTAACAGCTAGAAAAAATTGTTGAACATCGAACGCTTGGCATTCTCGCTTGTGGCAGTTCTTAAAAGCTGTATTTGACCGTGTTTTATAACTAATGATGGTATATTGTGAAATATTTACGCAGAGTTTAAAGAGATGGACCTGGTTAAAATTGCACTTTTCTATGCCTTCAGATATGCCTCCTGATTCTCGTCAACGTCCCAACGTTCAATTTCTACTTCTTTAAAGATAACTACGACTACGAGTACGTCTGGCAAGTGCAGGTGGGGATTTCGCAATTTGATCAACCCCTTTAAAATCATGTTTTAAGCAATGGCTAAAGCAGAACTACACCTTCTGCGTGGTCGTCATTTTTGTCAACACGGCCACGCTCACTATCCATTTCCTAGCGGCCATGGTCTGGTCGGTGCTCCAGACATATCTTGTCATCTTCAAAAAAGAGGTAAGCTCGAAAATCTAGTCTCTCTCTTTCTAAAATCATCCATATTAATTTGAACACAATGGAAACAATTAATTTTTTTAGTGGAATGTCGTCCTTGACCTGCTGATCGTTTTTGTTCCGATCGCCCCAGCCATAGGCCCCATTTTCTACCTATGCGCGCTCAAGCGCCTCCAGCTTCCGGGTTACGACCCGGACGTTTATGAGATTCCTACGGTAGGTGACTGTACTAACTTTCTTACGCATATTTCAGATCGGCTTCTTTCACGCTCTCGCACTCTCTCTCTCTCTCTGTCTCACTGTCCTTCTCTCTCTCGCTCTCCCTCTCCCTATCGCTCTCTCTTCCTTTCGCTCTCTCTTTCCCTTTTTCTCTCCCTCCTCTTTCTCCTCTCGAAAACGCCCGGATTTTTTCCAGAAAGCCGGCAGCTACTTCAACTACTTTTGCGTCCCGATGTTCCAAATATCGATGTTGGTGATGGCACTCTTACAAGTCTGCCAAAACATCGTCCACATGCTGCGTCATCGGATGCTCGAATCCATCTGGCCCCTAATCCGAATCTCTGTCTGCGTTGGACTCTACATCATACACCGGGTATTACTGGATATTGTGAGTTTTGAATTTCAAAGACTTACAATAAGCGGAGAATAGTGCAGCGGATTGCAGCGTAGGTACGGTTAGTGTACTGAGGCATAGGGTGGCGTATCGTACGTAGCCAGTGGCTGTATGTCAAGCGCACTGCCGCGTACTATACCTGGGGTGGTCGTTGAGCTAGATTCGCGTATCGTACTTTTGCATCCTTACGGCCCCCTACCGTAGCGTACTAAAACGCAGTATTCTAATTTATCCTAGCGTATGCGGCGTACTGTGCAGCACTGAAACACCGAAGCGTACTGTAGCGTATTGTAGTGGTCCCTAACATACTGGAACGTAGCCTAACGAGTGCAACGTATTTTGGCGTATCTAATGGACTTACTGGAATGTGCGTACGTACTCTCCTTCCCAACCCTCGATTCCAGAGTATCTCTGCCGACATGCAAACGCTGTACAAATATGGTACGTTCGTGTGTGGGTACGCGGTCTTCCTAATTCCGGCGCTGCTCGAGTACGGAAAACCGGAAAATCAGGATCACGACTAAGAACTACGACAGCCAATCGAGACAATTTATGCATTTTGTGTCAAATCACTTCCGTCAAAAGTGAAAGATAAACGCAATAAAAAAATAGAAAGTGAAATTTACAGTACACGCATTTCCATAAAATTTAATACGAGAACCGTCTATAACCTGTTTTTTCTACTCTGAAAGTCTAACTTTGGTAATGGTATCAAAAACACAAAAATTATCGTTTTTAGATAAAAAAGCCGAATTTCGGATAGAATTTCGAATTGTTGAAGTTTCTGGTAAATTTTTGAATCGATTATTCCCTTATAGTTAATTTTTACTAAAAAATTATTTGGATACTTAGAATTACAATAGTAAGCCTCCCTGAACCTTTAGGAAAATTAGATTTTCGGGGCTTCCGCCGAAACCCACGCCCCGAGTCCCCTCGATACTGCAAAAGTACCATAATCCTTTCCGAATTTAATAGAACGAATAAAATTAAGAGTTCCAGCAAACCAAAGGCCCCATAGAATATCCTCTTATAGTTTATTTTTATTTTTTGGTAGTTCGGTAAAATTTGGAGAATTTTTAACATGATTTTTACCGTAGTCCAGCTGTCGCCACGCCTTTAAGAAAGTTCCGTAACATTTTCTAAGAAGGCTCGGAATCAACCGCAAACCTTTAGCCGTAATTACGCGGAAGAAACCATAAATTACGGCGGCATTTTGGCTCCGAAAGTTTACACCCCCTCAAGATACCTAAAACGGCCCGACACCGCCGCGAGATGCCTAATTGCAGTGTACCTCGCCCAACCCACGTCGGGCACAAAGAGGAGAATGCCTAGCCTTGTTCTTTGAGTAGTATATTTGATAAAAGTCTCTATATAATATTTCGATTATTAATATCCTATTTTATTAACTAAATTGATTATCAAGCCGCTATAACCTTTAAAATTCTCAAATAAATAAATCGACATATTGGATAAAGAAATTTCATATATTTATCTATTACTGTAATTATTCGATATTTTGGCGTATTTAAATACACATTAAAAATGGACTACATCTCACTACAATTCATACTCTACAACTGCTATATACTTGTCATTGTTGGCTTTCATATACGTGGATTTCGACAAGTTCTTTTCCATGAAGACCATGAGGGGAATACGAATAAAATTGTTAACCTGTTTTTTAGGGTTACTGTAGGTTTTTCAAAGCTTTCTAAGTTTCAAAAGCGCTTTAATTTTTTTGGTCTACATTGCATAGGACAAAAATAGAAAAGATGGCGTGTAGTAGAGCAAAAAAAAACATTTTTTTTGTTCTAGGACAATTATACGCGTAAAAGAAATTTCTTGATCTTTAAAATTTGGAAATCTCATTTACAGAAAATTGGCGGTGGCTGGATTAGCTAAGCTTAAAGACCCCGTTTTTTAGATAATCTTCCTGCTCCTCATTAACATACCAACGTGTAATACCTTTATTTTTGCCGATCCATACGAGATGGAATACGTGTATCAAATGCAGGTGGGACGATTTTAGACGTTTTAAACGGACGGTAAAAGCATTTAATAGATTCTGGATTACCTACGCGGTAAGACTTCTTTAGCCCCCCCCCCCCTCACAGCCGTAGGGTCTCACAGTTTTCGGTACTATCGCGTATTTTGTCGGGGTTTTTGCAACGCCATTCGATAGATCGTCAAAAAATACACCAAGAGTTTTAATAAGAACCTACAATAATGTAACATAAAAAATTTATAGCAAAAACCTTACGCGACCCGACCCAAAACCCTACCCGCTTACAAGAGTATTGACAAAAGCTAGAGGTCCTCTGATGTTGCAAAATGTATCATAAAGACGATACCGGCAATTTCAGGTCTGGCTCGGGCAGCACAGTTCGATTTGTACCATCATTTTATTCATCAACGCTGCAATGCTGACGGTTCATTTTTTAGCCTTCATGCTCTGGGCGGCTTTCCATAGCTATTTGACGGTTTTCAAGAAAGATGTAAGTTTCCAAAGCGTAAATCATGCAAAAACAATCCCGGCACTGATCGAAGTGACAGTAATCAGTTTAAAAAAGTAGTCATTATTTTTTCACTATCCGTTTTTCTATTTTTTATTCTTTTTGAATCTTTACTGACCGAAACCCTGGTTTCTGGCTTTTTTAATCGGTCCACCAATACGTACAACAAAACGTTTATGAAATTTATTAAATTTTTTTAAAGATTTTTGATCAAGAGCAGACCCTAGCCTTCACCTGTAATATTTTAAGTGGAACATCGTCTTCAATCTGCTTATTATCATCCTGCCCTTCATTCCTGCGGTTGCCCCAATCTGTTGGATTTGCTCGCTAAAGCGCAGCCAGATCCCGGGCACGACCAATTACACCAACTACGCCTCGGTGGGTTACTGTAGCTAGGTTTACTGTAGAATAATCTTAAAACGAACAAGACAGCTTGAGGCACGCGTGAGAACAGCGCAAAATTCTAGTCAAAAACTTTTAACCCGGTTTAATATAGGGTTTTGTAAAACTTCAAAACAACTTTAACCAAAAATATTTTTTCACATTTTAAACCACCACCTTAAGGTGGCAACTGCCGCGCTCTCTTTAAAAGTTGAGGAATCTTTTTTTCATAGAAATCGGAACTTCGAAATTTTCAGCGCTTTAAGTTTGAATGATTTTAGATTAAATTCAAATTTAGCAATCGGGCAGCTACTTCAACTTCTTCTGCCTGCCAATGTTTCAACTATCTATGGTGATTACTGTAGCTTTACAAATCGCCGAAATGGCAGTCCATCTGCTGCGAAGAAGATTTTCGGATTGCGCCTGGCCGATTTTGCGAATAGCTTTTTGCGGAGGCTTCGTCGTGCTGCATTGGGCAGTGCTGGATATTGTAAGCTTTTGCTATTTTGTTTACTGTCTTAAAGGTATTAGAAAGCGTCAAAATCGACCCTTTCTCGCTAGGTCTTGCTGATTGAATCTTGCATATCAAAAACCCATACGCAAACAATTTAATTTCGCGAAAACGGCCCGTTCTAGTGGCTCGTAAATTCCATTTTCCATAACTTTCGGTTATTCCAGCTGTCGAGACCTAGCCGATAGCAGAGGTCGATTCTAGCTTTCTTGGCCTTTTATTGTTTTCTGGATTGACCTATCCTTCCCTTCAGACACTAACCGATGACCGCGACTCCATGGCCAAATACGCCGCTTTCGTCTGTGGCTACGCGGTATTCCTAGTGCCGGTGCTAACGGAATTTGGGAAGGCTTCGTATATCGAGGCTGAATAAACAATTCGATTCTTTCATCTATAATTGCCATTACCCGGATTTGTGTATTTCGATAAATTTGACAGTATCCTTTTTAAATGCATTCCAAAAACCCTGATGGCCCTAAAATTTAATATTTCCATTTTTTGTATAAATTCCTGTTGGCTCAATTTTCAAACCCGTTCCAAGACCATGAAAGGGTCATTTCCATAGCAGAGGCAAGTTTCCGGAGCGAAAAAAACTGTCCTACTCTGTCTCTCTCTCCCTCACTCTTTCTCTCTCTCTCTTTCTCCCTCCCTCTCTCTCTCTCTCTCCCTCTCCCTCTCTCTCTCTCTCGCCCTTTCTCTTTCTTCTGGACATTAGCTGACAAAAAGCCGTCGCGACTACCAGTTTCCGCACCGCAAGGTGCCACCACCACCTCGACAAGGCAAGGAAACCTATCAAGGAAGGGTATAAAAAGCATGTCTTGTTACGGGTAGTACGCACAGAAAAACAGCTGTACCATCCGCTACCGTATCCAGTTTTTGCACAACTTTCTAACCAAATATTTGATGAAAATTTCAATTTTAGGACGTTGACTAATTTTTTAGGTTTTCTGTTTTTCTTAAAACTCAACTAAAAATTATAAAATTTATATTTTTCAGATGGAGACCGGGAAGGACCTCTTTTTGACTGTTGTGTTCGCTGGGACCACGATTGTGGTGGTCGGCACGGCGATCAGCATGTTCCAGATCGTGTCCGACATCTCCGACTGGAGGTACGGTAGCTAAAAACGAGAAAAATCATCATTTTTGTTTTCGTTCTTCTTCAATAGAAAACTAGTAAAAAAATAATTAAAAGCCGACTTCAATAAACCTTTAATCAAGGGAGAACATCGAGTCAGACCTCGTCCAATTCCGCGAGACGGCCGATGACGCCTGGGCCAAGATGATGCACTCGTCGAAGAAGAACCTGATGCAGAGGTGGAAGAGAGCTGGAGGATACAATCAGGTATGTGGTGAGAAAGAGAGAACGAGTGAGAGAGCGAGAGATAGAAAGCGAGAGATAGAGTATCTTGGATAGGTTTATGGTTCTTTTGCATTATGGTGGGGGGATAACAGGGGAAGACCTATTTTGTCTTACTTCATAGTATTCATTTTTATTATTCCAATATAGCTATTACTGTTTACTATTTTTCTTATTCTTAACCACAAAAATGACAAATTATTAGAAAAAAATTCAAAAATGGAGATCTTTTCGGCAAAAATATCCGTGCCTACATTTTTCAACTTTTATCTGGATTTTCCGCTTGAAATTTAGGTAAATTTTAAAATTATTAGTATAAAATGTTTTCATTGCGTTAGTTGGAATTTCTGGACTTTACGAAAAATCCCCGCCCCTCGATAACGCAAAAGCACCCGATTTTAATAAATTTCCGACTGAGACAAGATACAAACGTATTTCGTTCATTTACAGGGCCCCTCAGCCGGAGTCGGCGGATTCAGCGGCGGAGGCGGAGGCGGAGGTGGAGGCGGAGGAGGAGACTCGTGTGCTGCTTGCCAAGCCGCCGCTACCTCTTGCCCGGCTGGTCCTCCCGGACCTCCCGGATCCCCCGGAGAGGATGGTATGCCAGGAGAGGCCGGACAGGATGGAGAATCCGGACAAGCCGGAGAATCTGCCCACTCCGAGGCCTCTGGAGGGTGCATCAGCTGCCCGGCTGGACCTCCTGGACCCGGTGGACCCAACGGACCTCCTGGACCCCCCGGACCTGCCGGAAACCCGGGAGCTCCTGGAGGCCCCAGCAGCCCTGGACCTCCTGGTGAGTTATTTCAAGTGTTGGCAAAATTTCGAAAAGCAGCATGGCGAAATGCCGAAATGCCGAAATTTCAAAATGCCGAAACTTTAAATTTGCTACAATTCTCTCCAGGAACGAATTTCAAGCGAAGTTCCTAAATCTACCAAAATGTCGACATTACGAAATTTTGTCGGCATATTGGAATACCGAAATTCGGAAATTACGACGTATCGAAATGCCGACAGTTGCGAAAATCGGCATTTTAAAATGTCGCCTTACTGAATTTTGTCGTTTTTAATTTCGAACTGAAAAAAAACATTTTACAAAATCCCGCGTTCGGCATTCCAATTTTCCATAAAATAAGCAAAATTAATTTTCCCTAAAACAAGCCTGCCTTTAGGACCCGCCGGACCCCCCGGAAACGATGGTCAGCCCGGAAGCCCTGGACAGCCCGGAGCACCAGGACAGCCTGGAGCCCCCGGAACTCGCAGCACCAGCCAGCCCGGACCCGCTGGAGGACCCGGACCTGCTGGACCCCCCGGACCCAACGGGCAGCCCGGAACCACCGCTGGGGCTCCCCCGCCTGGTCCTCCTGGACCCCCTGGACCCCCTGGAGCCCCCGGACCCAACGGAAACCCCGGAGGACCCGGATCGGATGGTCAGCACGGACAGCCCGGATCCGATGCCGCCTACTGCCCTTGCCCACCAAGGACTGGTCCTGCTCCTTCTGCTCCTTCTGCTGCTGTGTCGGGAGGAGCTCCTCAGGGTAAGGTTTAGGGATATTTATCTCTTGCTCAATTTCTGTCTCTCTCTCTCTATATATCTTTCTCTCTCTATCTCTCTCTCCCTCTCTCTCTCCCTCTCTTTCTACTCTGCTCAGTTTCTCTATCTATCCGTCCCTGTCTCTCTATGGTTCTGCACCTTTCACGTACCATTCGCGTCGGTACCCAAGGGAGCGTAACCTAGGCTACCTTAAGAAGAACTTCGACAGCTCCATCTAATGCTCTACACATCTCAATTATATAATCATTTTCAGCCTCCTACAACACTGGAGGCGGAGGAGGAGCTGGAGGCGGAGCGGGATCTTACAAGGGCCGCCGCCGTTTCAACGCCTAGATACCCGAACAGGGAGTCGGCGAATAAACGGATATCAGCAAGAATTCTCTGTATACACAGGATTACTGGCTTCCGAGTTTCCGTAAAAGAACACATACCAAATGACGCGGTTTCTCACTTCAACGGTTCTTTGTAATGAGGAAAAGGTTTCTCTCTCTTTCCCTCTCTCTCTCTTTCACTCTCTCTCTCTGTAAAGCTCTCACTCCCTGCCTATCCTGGCTCACATTCCCGCGCCTCTAGCTTGCGCTAGGTTTAGCTGCTATGAGGTTTTTCGATATTTCCATATATCTCAAGCCCACTGTGTTAATTTTCATTTTTTCTCTCTCCCTCTCGCTCTCTATCTTTTTTTTGCTTCCTTGTACCAGACGCATCTTCCATAATAAAAAAAGGAACGCATTTCCGCACATCAACAGAAAAATTGTACCAAATATCCAAGATCCGGCTCAACTTATTTTCTCCAACTGTACTTTTTGTATCCATAATTTCAAGCTGCCGCTGATGTTTGTTTACCTCTAATTTTCCCCTTCCTTCTCCTCGTCTCCTTAATTTTGCCCGGGCAACAACGCTGGGCCCAAATGAGCACCTGTGGGCCGCATGTCTTGAATCCAGAATACACCTTCCACCCGTCACAAGTTCAGCTCCGGCCGAAAGGGGCGCTTAATCCTTTCGAACTCCCCGCCCGGGGGGAATTTCATTCGCCCCCAGACCGGAATTAGCAAAATCCACGCCTTTGGGTAGGCAATTTGCTATAAAAGCCGGGGATTCCGAGACGGTACTCATTGCATATTCCGGAAAAGTTTATTTGCTATTTTTATCCTATTTTATAATGGATCCTGCTGCCAAACCTGATGCGCCGGAAGCGTTGGCCTGTAGAGTCTGCGAGACGAAGCCGGCTGGGAAAAATTATGGATCTGTGGCGTGCAGGTGGGTGAAAAAGGGAGGCAGCGAGAGAGAGAAAGAGAGAGAGAGAGAGAGCGAGAGTGAGGGAAAGAGAGAAAGCGAGAGCTGGCTAATATGTGGAATTTTTAGTAGTTGCAAGACATTCTTCCTGCGTGCTGCCACTAGCAAGTATCCCTTTGTCTGTGAAGCGGAAGCAAAATGTGTATACCGTAAGCTATTTTCATAATTTATCAAAATGCAGTTTGTCGAGTTATGTAATAACTGTAATATAAAATAGCTTAACTACCATAGTATCCAAAAAATCCTGTTACATACAATATCATTTAGCTAACGATCGCTGCAGAGCCTGTCGTTTTCAGCAATGCTTGGCTGCCGGGTTTCGGCCGGAAAGTGAGTTTTTGCTACTTTTTTTTACTGCAGTGAATTTTTCTACTAACGATTTTCCAGAAGTCGGCCACAGGTCGGAACGTAGAAAGAAGGCCAAAAATGCAGAAAATGCCATCGAGGTGCCAAAATCTCCAGGATTGCCTTCGCTAGTTGAGGTAAGTAATTGTCGCCACATTTTCGGTGATGATTCGATGTAAAGTTAATTGAAATATAGTATTTATCCATTAATAATACCTTAAAAAAATTCAGGATCACCAACGCCTTCCCTCTGTCGTATTTCCAGCGACTTTTGCGCCTTCAGCCGGGCCAGTATCTGTAGCTCAAGAAGTGGGAAGATTAATGAGAGTGGAGGAGTAAGCAAATTTTTTAAAATTGGTATAAATTTGTAATTTGTAGATTCTGTACTGCCGACTACCCCTGGATTCCACTAAATCTGGAATTCGAATTTAATCTATCCACTCCTATCAGCGATTTATTGAGCAACCCGACTCTAGTTTGTCCGAGAGTTCCGGTAGGAGAGAGATACAGAGAGCGGCAGACCGAGAGGGCGCGAGAGCGATAGGGGGAGAGAGAGAGAGAGACAAAGTGAGCGGGAGGGAGAGCCACGGAAAGACAGAGCGAGAGGGAGAGACAGAGAGTAAGAGAGAGGGAGAGAGAGTGACTGAGAGTGAGAGAGAGAAGAGAGAGAGAGATGGGGAGAGAGAGCGACGGAGAGAGAGAGCGAGAGGGAGAGACAGAGAGAGATGGGGAAAGAGAATGAGTGAGAGCGAGAGGGAGAGAGAGGGAGAGAGAAAGAAAGAGATAACGAGAGAGAGATAGAGGGAGAGAGAGCGAGATGGCTGATTTTAGATTGGCCTAAGCCCTTCCGGAAACCCGACCACCTATACCCCAGAAATGAGCGGAAGAACGTTTGCCCGTATGATGCTGTACTGCTGCGACTTTTTCCGGGCCATGCCGGAAGTTTGGGAAATGTTGCCGGAGGATAGGGTACGGAAAAACCTTCTTCGTACAATTTCAAAAAATAAAGTATTTCTAATCAGGGGCCGAGCATTGGCCCGTTATAAAATTACGAGAATTTGTTCGGAAAATTTAGAAAATTATAAAATTGGCTAGAAAATAATGCATATTGGTTTTCAAAAATTTTCAATATTTAGATATATTTAAAGCTAAAAATCAAAGAAAAAAAGGAATTGGGTAAAAAATAACGAATATGACATTTAGAGGCATTGAGCTGGCTAAAAAAAAATTTTAAACCGAAAGAGCAGACTGAACGAACCGGAAAATTGAGGATTTTGAACGTTTTTTTTTGCTAGAGGCTAGAAAATTATGAAAATCTAGCAAAATCAAATGATTTTTAAATTTAGCTACTCATTTCCAGCACCGGTTCTGCATGCACTCCGCCTGCCTGTTGATTCAAATTCAAATGGTCTACTCTTCTTACAAAACGAAATCTGCGGGTTTGCTACGCGGCCTCGGGCAACATTATGAGACGAGCGGTTTCTCGCATAAGTAATTTTTGATGATTTTTGAATTATCTATGAATTTCGAGAGCCCTCGACTACCTCAAACAAACAACAAATCAAATGCATGACGAGTTGTTTCCACTTCTGTACGCTGCCAAACTGACACACGAGGAATTTCTGATCTGGCGAATGATGGTGATGCTGAGCCCTGGGCGTGGGTTAACTTGAATAGTTGATGACAAGCGCACAGGTCAGTGCATCCACCCAAAATCCACTCGGAATCCCCGAGGGGATCGAGGGGAATTCCACTAGCGGACGCGAGTGGATTCCACGTGGAAATCGAGTGGATTCCGGGTGGAACGTATGGATCTCGAGTGGAAACCAAGTGGATCCACTCGGTTTCCACTCGATTTTCATTTGCCGCGCCGCGTGGGGCCGGCGTTGCGTCGTGTTTCCACTCGTCCACTGCGTCCACCCGATTTCCACCCGATTTCCCTGCGTTCCACCCGAATTCCAGGTGGAATCCACACGGAATTTGGCTGGATGCACGGACCTGTGCGAAGATAATTTTCGTAAAATTTGTAAAATAGGTTTTTGTAAAATAATAACTAAACAAAGGTTATCGATTTTTTTTTTGGTTTCGAGACGAGATCGATCATTTTTCAGCAATTGGAATCTCCGACTCCGCGCTGGCAATTATCGCCAGGGGAAGGAATCGATACGCTTTTATGCTGGCCGAGGTTAGATCGGCTTGTAATTTTCGCTTTATGCCAATTTTAAGCTCTTGAGAAGCACTGGAACCGAGCTGGAAGCCATTCAGAAAATGATGACGCTTTCTAGGGCCCATCGGTGGTTGCAGGTAAATTTTTAAAATTTTCTCTGCTTTTTCCTGGATTACGCTACCATCCCGCTACGGTATGGCCACATGCTCAACATTTTATTTAAGATACATTACACCGTATAGCAGTTTTCTTTGTTTTAGAGGCAAAAATATCGCTTTTAAGGGCAACGCAAATCATGGAGCCGACTTTGGCATTACTGCAATCGTTCAGGGAACCGGTGGGATTCGGCTGAAAGGGAATTTGTTTTATGATGTACTACTGGCCAGGAGATAATAAATTGTTTATGCTTTCAGATTGCCGGCGAGCCGCTAAAATACCCTACATTTAAAGGGGCTCAGAAGTCAAAATTCGTGCGTGCGGGGAATGAACGAAAACGAAAGGGTCATTGCCGAGAAATGCCAGAAAAGTGATTTGTTGGCGCAAAAACGTAAAATATTTGAGAAAAACCGAATTATTTTGGGGCCAAAACGAAATTATGAGTGGGCGGCGATTACATGTCGTAAGGCCCTGTAAGGCGCCCAATCTATCAATCTCGGCGATTCTCCGATCAATTTTCATAATTCAAAGGTTTGGAATGATCAAAATTCATTGAGGATTCCAAAAATAGCATCAGAATTTTTAAATTCAGTCGTTTAAAACAGGGGCCAAGATCATCCGGCGCGGTCGCGTTGCGGCCGCATCTGGCTATTTGCCAGGAATCACAGCAGGGGGCCATGGACCAGATTTCGGAGCCTCTTTCAGGCCGAGAATCGCCAAAAAAGCCTGGGGTTGACAAGGTACCGGCCATTAGCATCCGAAAATGCAAAAATTCAAGAAAAAAAAACAAAAATTTTTCATGCGTACCTTGGGATACAGAGTTATGGTTCAAAGCACTTGGAACTTGGAAATTTTTCGTCGCGGCAAGTCCTTTTGAGGGATTTAGGGACTGGTCACCAGACCAATGCCAAAATTTTCTTATTGCACCTAACCCTACCCCAATAAGCCATCAGAACAGTCATTCAAAAGACCAACGAGTTCGGCAAGTTCCTGGCTTGCCCTTGGGGGCATGTTCATCCTCATTGGTGGTGCTCAAGGCTAGCCGGTGCTCGCTTTCGGTCCGGCTGCTCTCTCCCTCCCTCTCTCTCTCTCTCTCTCTCTCTCTCTCTCTCTCTCTCTCTCTCTCGCTTTTAGTTTTCTATCGCCGGCTTTTCCCACCACGTTCGTCCCTGCACTATGTGAACATTTTTTTCGCCTGTATCCTGCTACAGTGGCGTGCCAAGAATGATGTACCCAATACGGTTTTTTTTCTGATGCCCGACTGGCGTAGGTCTGAAAAGTGTCTAGTTTTCTATTGTCCGCGAAAGGCAATTTTTTGCGACGATCCAGACTTCTGATACTAGATTTAAAATCATCGAAATTAGGCAAAATTCGAATATACCAAACCCGCTCTCAAAATGAAAAGCTGAAAATTCATTTATTTTTAATTTATAGGATATCAATTTTACAAAAATTGTTAGAAAAATTTTTATAACAATAATAATTCTGGGTTTTCTTTAGTCAATTTTTACAGGTCGAAAGTGAGTTTTCGTATCTCGGTTGTTTTTAGTCCTACAGAGCTGTCAATAATACCAAAATGTTGCTCTTGCTCTGGAGAATCAGCCTACAGTGCATTTGAGTCGAAAAATAGCGGAAAATAAAACTATTTGAGTTTTAAGCCCAAGCCTAAGCCTAAGCCTAAGCATACTTTAGCCTAAGCGTTTTTCCTAGTAATTTGCATACGTGCAGATCCTTTAAAAATTTGAGTGCACCGAAAAAAGGCTCAACCCCAACCGGATCGCCCTTTTTCTGGCCTTTTTGGTGCACCCGCTATCAAATCCCAGGCCGTTTTTGGGTGCACGTCTGCCACTGGGAGTGGGATTTAGTCTTAATCGGAGCCGGGGGCAACTTTTGGGGCTGATCATCGCCCTCTTTCCGGATGCCGGGTGATATCGGATTGAGCTGGTTCCCACCCCTGCGTGGGTGGCAAAAAAGAGAAAATGTTGCCACGAACTTGGTGCGCGCATGCCAGAGGAGCATAAGTTCAGGTTTGCCGGAGGCAAAGGGCGGGCCCGACCATTTTTTACAAAACCCCGGCATCCCATCGGCTTCAGTCGATTTACGGCGAAAATTTTGGGGGTTTTGCTACCCTAATTGGTTCCAGAAAACTTAAAATTATAATTTTTCGATTTATCCGAAGATTTGAAGGCCAGCATTTGCTCGATTTCCTCAATCTTTTCTCGTTGTTTTTTTTTGGGATAAGATTAATGGATGTGAAAACTTAAAAAAAAAAAACTGAAATTATTTTAATTAAATTTTAAATTATTTTATTTTTTAAGTCTTTTAACATTTGAAAATTGCAAGCTGTAGCGCCAAAAAGATAACACGACATTTTTTGGTTCAATTTTCGTCCAATTTTTTATTGTTGCTAGGCATATTTTACTATTACGCGTAAGCTGGGGGGCATTTAATGAAAAATTTCCTGCATAAAAATTGATTTTTGAAGACGCTGGACTGCGAATTAAAGGGGCCAGAACACGTAAAAACCGCCCACTGGGTGTCGACAGCTGTGCATTATGCACCATCAAAATGTGTTTTTGCCTTTTTGTAGTTTTTTGACGCATCTTGTAGCTGTCGATACTTAATTGTAATTAGATGTCGAGTCCTCAGTATTTTAATTTACTCAGTTGTTAACAAAACGCTGTTTTTCTTTTTTTTTAATAAATCTTTATGTCTAATATTCGAATTTTCTATGTGTACTGTAATCGTTAAAAACATGCATATTCTAACCCGTAATTTAGAATGACGCGTAATCTCTACCTCGCTGTGGTTAGCGTACTCGCGCTATGCGTAACTGCCCAATACGGTCAAGATTACGGATATGGTGGAGGATTCTGAGCTTTCCAGGCCCCGATCGTCCCTGCGCAGCTTCCAATCCCGTTGCTACAGGTTTGAAAACGCTCGAATTAAGCTAGAGAAACCATTTTAATGACCTACAAGACGATTCGCCTTTTAGTCCCAAATCCCACAAGGCCAGCCGCAGTTCCCTCAACAGCAACAAGTTCAAGAAGAGTTCGGGACGACTACTACGCCTCCGCCACCTCCGCCTAACCAGCCCGAATTCATCGAGCAGCCCCAATTCGTGCAGCCACAACCCCAGTTCGTTCAGCCGCCACCTCCGCAGTTTGCCGCCGCTCAGCCTCAGGTGCCTCTAAAAATGCCAAAGCATGTATCTCTCTCTCTCTCTCTCTCTCTCTCTCTCTCTCTCTCTCCCTCTCTCTCTGTCTTTTTCCTGTCTCTCTCGCTCTGTCTCTCTCTCTCTCTCTCTCTCTCTCTCTCTCTCGGTCTCTCCCTTTCTCTCTCACTCTCTCTCTGTCTCTCTCTCTTTCTCGCTCTCTCTCAGAACTTATTATCGAATTAAAATTTTTATTTTATGTTTAGTTTGCCGCACCTGCCCCGGCTGCCGCATCCTCCTGGCAATGGTATTCCCCATATTACTACCAGGGTCAAGGTATATTTTAGTAATTAATACACCGGTGTTAATATGAAAATTTAATGAAATAAGCATGACGCTGTCGAATTTGAATTTACCTTCACCGTTAAAAATTAGAAAAATGCTTTTTCCTATTAAAAGTAAATTCCAGCCGCCGGCGGATACTACTGCTTCACCGCCGACACCGAGGTTGAGCATATGGACGGACGTATGATCCGTATGGATGAGCTGAAGAAGAACGACATCATCAAGACGCTCAACGGGAAGAGGATTGGCTATTCGCCAGTTAGCTTCTGGCTCCACCGAGTCCCGACGCAGGAGGCTGAGTTTGTCAAGATCAGCTTGGAGGTGAGCTCTTGGTCCTTCATTCCTATCTCTCACTCACTCTCTCTCTCTCTTTCTGTCTCTCTCTCTCACTCTCTCTCTCCCCTTGCCCGCTATGTGACATTTGCTTTTTCAGAACGGAAAGGAGGTCAAGCTCACCGGGAAGCACTACATCTACGCCAGCAAGTGTGGAACTCAAAATGAACAAGTTCAACTTCCCAGCGGCCCCATCTTTGCGGAGATGGTCCAGGAGGGCGACTGCTTATTCACTGTTGATGAGGTATTTTTTATATCTGTGTCTCTCTCACTCTCTCTGCCTATGTCTCTATCCCTCGTCTAACGCTCTCAATTCCAGGCCGATATTACCCAATCTCGCGTCTCCAAGATTGAACTTGTCCATGAGACCGGCATCTACGCGCCGATGACGTCGAACGGAAAGTTGATCGTCAACGGAATCTACGCCTCTTGCCACAATGTTGTTCAACACCACGAGGTCCAGCGGACGTTCTTCGACTACTTGACTTCTGCCGGCGACGCCGTCAAGGCGTACTCTGGGGCTGAAGACGTGGTAAGTGCTGGTAGAGAGAGAGAGAAAGCGAGAGAGAGCCGAGACATAGAGAGAGACAGAGAGAGTGAGAGCGAGAGAGATAAAGAGGGTTCTTCGAAACCTAACCTATAATTACACTCCCTTTTTTCAGAACGAGATCCCGTACGGCATGGGGCTCCTCGTGCAAATGATGGAGTTTGCGCTCCCGAAGGCCGGATTTTAAAAGCCTAAAAGCTTCTCATTTTCACAAAGCTTCTCCACCTCTCAGACCCCCACTTCCATCTCGATTTTCTCCGTTATTTGTCATTGTTGCAATTCCTCTTACTGTACCCTGACACCGACCAAGTGCACAAAAACTATTGATTTATTAAATTATTTTTTATGGCTTTTTGATTTGGGTAGAATAAAGCCTGGATTGATTCAAAATCGTTTCTGGAACTCTTTTTTGTACTTTTAGTAAGTTTCAAAAACATGTATTTCTTTTTTCATTTAGATTTTATATCAACTGAAGTCCAAATTTAAACTAATATTTTTCAAAAATTTCCATAATTTAAATCTCAAAGATTGATGAATTTCACGATCTCGGTGCATAGGAGTCTTTCTGCTTTTGCAGCCCCTCCTAATCTGGAAGTTCTGGGCAAAACCAAGAAAAAAGGAAACCAAGGATTTTGCAGGAAGGGAAAAGCGGCAAAAAAATTATTGTTAGAGGGGCGTGGAGAGAGAGAAACGGAGAGAGAGAGAGAGAGAGAGAGAGAGAGAGAGAGAGAGAGAGAAGAACGAATTCCCTGGGTCGGGAAAGGCGGCTCGTGATTTCTGGGTACGATATTTGCACCTGAGGCCCCGAAATGAGCCATGTTTTAGCATTCGAATAACCTGAGGTATCAGACGTCCTTCGGTTTTTTGAACCTGGGCTGTAATAAAAATGATGGCACGTAAAAATAAATCTAGCTCGTGCTCCATCGCTCCTGCTCCATTTCCCTAGGATTTCCAATGCGCCCTAGGCGATCTTTATTTATTTTTGAAATCTAGCTCACTTTTCTCGCTCACTCTCTTAGTCTCTCTCTCATTCTCTCTCTCTCGCCTTCAGGCTCTATATCCCTCTCTCACTCGCTCTCCTCTCTCTCTCTCTCTCTCTCCCCCGTCGCTCTCCCTAGCCGCGTCGCGGTTACGTAGCGGTGTTCCGTACCGATTTATTCACCGAACGCTGCTGAGACGACGCCTTAAATCCCGTAGACCACACGGTAGACAAATCCGACGACGCCACATGGCGTTGTTTTCACAGGGTCTCCCTCAAATTTCCCAAGATTTTTCACCAAATCCTTCCCCAAAAATACCCCCCAAAATTCCAAATTCCGGGTAATCGCCTTCCAGAGTCGGGTACTGTGGCGCCTGCGAAAGCGCCCCCGCACATTGGTTTTTCAAGGCTGAGTATCACATACAGGGAAGGCGCTGTCGTTTTCCAGCATAACGAGATTTTTTGCACCGTGCTTCATGATTCCTAAATGCGCATACCTCACAATTTTTATTATAATTTATTAAAATTGTATTCTATTTGATAAAAAAATTTAAAGAATAATTTTTTCTTTTTACACCCCTTTTTTCTTCAACAAACTTCCAACCTTAACTCCACCTATAAGTGTTTACTTGTAAACCTAAGTGCGAGAAATAAATTGTTATTATTATACACAGAGTGTCCCAATAAAAAAACGGCCTCTGATTCGACGCAGAAGTATCGGATCGGAATGATAGTTACATCGTCCGAAAGCCGTTCAAGCGGCGAGTTTGCAACAATTTTCAGAGGTTTTATTTAAACGATCCATTTTAGAAGCCGTTTTGTAAAATTTTACGGCTATTTGGGGCTGTATACGAACTAATTTGTCTAAAATTCCCCATACAAAATAATGGAAAGTAGCTGTTAATTAGATGCAGAGGCCGTTCCATAGTGTTTTTAAATGCGCTGTAACACAGCGCATTTAAATAAAAACACGGGTTTGAAAGTTTTTGCAAACTGGCCGTTTTAAGGGTTTTCGAATGGTGAAACCATCATTCCGATCCGATCCTTCTGCATCGGGTTAGAGGCGGTGTTTTTCATTGGGACACCATGTCGGATAGGATATGTAGGGTAGGCTATTTACAAATGCGAACCGAAATGCCAGTTTGATATCAGGACTTTTTGACGTTTATGATGATTCCATTTTGGCGGATTTCCTTTTACCATTTCCATTTTTTTTAAAATTAATTCATCTCAAACAGTTCGATCATTGAAATTTCAGCGTGTTGAAATTTTGGCAGAGCGTCAAAAAAATGAGGTCCGATGTCGGGACTCTTGGCTATCTGAATTTCGGACTTCCGGATTTTTGTTGTCGGGATTTTTGGCTAAATGGATTTTCGAAGTCGAGATTTTTGGCTATCAGAAATTCAGATGTCGTGATTTTTGGTTATCGAACCTTCGGATGTTGCAATTTTTGACCCTCGGAATTTTGGCCTGTCGGGATTTTGAATGTTGGAAGTTTTGGCCTCGTGATTTTGGCGTGTCGGGATCGTGGGGGGCGCGATAGGCGAGGTGCCCCTTTTCGCACCCGACCAGACTTGCTTCCTTTGGAACTGCAAAAATCCAGACCCCTCTTTGGGAGCACGGGAAGTATGCGTCTTGCACCCAGGGGCTTCATAGAACAGACCGTGAAAAATTTCCGAGATGATGTTCCGGGAAACTGATCTTCCGGGATAAATACTCTGTACCCGGGACCAGCGCGCTGATCCGGATTTTCGCCCACCGAATGATGAGAACCATTGGTTTAAAAGCCCAACCCCCGCAATCGGATTTTTTCTTTTTCTGATGATTGTTTGGTGCTTACTGTTTGCGCGAACCCGAGGATACGGTAACTGGGTCGAAACTGAGTAGCCGGCGTCTCGCTTCCTAAACCTGTCAAGGCGGACGTTCAGTGATTTATAAGGGAGCACCTACGAACATGTCAGCGGCTCTCCCTATCTCCTTATCTCTCGCGTTCTCTCTCTCTCTCTCTCTATCTATTTCTTGCTTTTCGTCTTCAGCTTAAATGGATGTATACCTTCCGAGCGTCCCAATAAAAAACACCCCCTCTAACTCAACGCAGAAGTATTGGATCGGAATGATAGTTACACCATTCGAAAGCCCTTGAGACGGCGAGTTTGCAACAAACTTCAAAATCATGTTTATATTTAAACCCGCAATTCTACAGCCATTTTGTAAAATTTTCCGGTTTTTCGAGGTTGCATACGAACTAATTTACCTCAATTTCTCCAAATAAAATGACCGGAAGTGGCCGTTAATTACATGCATTCCTTAATGTTTGTAATGCGCTATAAAACGGCACCTTTAAACAAAAAAACTGGTTGCGAAGCTGCTTGCAAACTTGCCGTTTTGAGGGCTTTCGAATGGTGTAACGATCGTTCCAATCCGATACTTCTGCGTCGAGTTAGTGAGGGTTGTCTATTTTTGAAGCTCTATCTAATTCTAACTAATTTTTTTCATACCTTCATCTTTTATTTTTTAAATGACTTAGCTTTTGAGGCCGGAGATGCAGAAAACCAATGCATCCGAAGGAATACCGGGCGAGAAGTGCCGCGTTTGCGGGAAGCAGCCGGCTCGATTATGCTACGGATCGGTGGCTTGCGGGTAATTATCAATTTAAATGGCATCGATTGCTTTAAAATGCGCTTTTCCTAACTATAATTTTTTTGCGGAAAACTTTGTTATCATTCAGAAACAATTTGTGAATTTGCGATAGTTTCATTTTGCTTCGTTTCGATTTCAGTATCAATAAAATCCTAGACGTTTTTGGCTACCTTAAAAAGCTCAAGGATTTCCGAAAATATCATAACCCTGGAAAGGAAAATATCACAATTTCCGTAGTCAAAATGGCCGATTTTCCCTGAATTATTTTTTAGACTTTCTCATTTAATTTTTAAGAACCTTTTTTCTTTTTTATGTTCAACCCCAGAGCCCAGACCAATCCTGGGAATTGCATAAAATCATAAATATCATCGAAGGCGGCTCAGTTGACCACATAGCATAATCCGGAGACTGCTCACAGAAATAAGCCGGATGCTGACATATAGGGGATACGGCATCGGAACGCGAATGTACACTTTGGCACGGATTACGGTAGCGGGAAGGCTGTGTTCAAAACGACGTTTGCAAAATCGATCAAAAGTTAAAAAAGAAAAATCAAGTAATTATGTTTAAGTATTAATTAAATATTAAGTATTTAGTCAAATTATACAAACAAAAATCATAAAAAATTTAGATAAACTTTCAGGATTTATAATTTAAATGTTTGGATTGTTGTTACCTTTCCACGGCCGGGTATGTTTGTCCTAAGAAATCGTTTTTTAGGCTTTTTTGTAATCCAAAAATCCACAGAATCAAACAAAATCGGCGTTTCTTAAACAAATTTTTTCGCAAAAAAATTGAGTGTTTTACGCGACCTTTTAGGCCCTGCAAAACATTCTTCTTGCGTGTCGCAACGAGAAAAGCTACCTACGCATGCACCCTCGGCGGAAATTGTGTATATCGTGGGAAATTGAATCGAACAATATGCTATTAATTTTCAGCAAAAAGTGTCTGCCCGGCTTGTCGATATCAAAGATGTCTAGCCGCCGGATTGGTGCCGGAAAGTAGGTTCGGCGCCTGGTGATCAAAATGTCGATTTGCTACCAGTAGGGCTAATTGCATTTTCTCAAAGTCCCGCTTGGCGAAAACATTGTGTTGGTTTATTTATTTGCAAACCAGCGCCCAAAACCCGCTTCGCGGGCCTTGTGCGCTGGAATCAGGCCTTTGCATGAGAAATTTGACTTTCCGACTGCTCGGGTCCTTCGGACCCTCCCCTCCCCCGACCAAATTCGCGAGTGCAACTGGCAAGAACGAGGAAATTTCTATTTTTTCGCTTTATGCAAATTAGCTCTCCGATGCCCCAAAATTTAGTAAAGCCGGCTTCAACTTTGTAAACTTGTGTTTTATCGCGATTCTGAAAACGCCTTCGGAAAGAGGAGGGTCGATTCCTGTATGTAACGAAGAATTGGGGCGTTTTGAACACGGGAAAGCCCTCAAATCGGGCCTCGAAAGTGACATCCACACACACACACACACAGAGATATACTCCAAAATTATACAAGGTAGGATATAGAAAATTAAAATCTTGACAAAATTGAGTTCGACATTCAAATTTGCGGCAAAATGGAAATCACCCTGATTTGTGAAATATTTGGCTTTTTCCGCTAGGTAGCGAATACCGCGAAATCTTTTTGTCCTGGCCGTCCTAGGCAAGCAATTACAATAAAATTAATAAATTGATAAATCCGACAATTTTGAAAGATCTGATTTGAAATTTAGAAGCCGGACGACGGGATGGATGTAACAGACGGGCCTTGGAGGGCACCGAGGAACTGTTATTTCCAAAATCGCCGATTCTGCCCTCGTTGACAGAGGTATGGCTAGCGCGTTTTTACTTTTAACCCTGTAGTAAGATGCTTATTTTTAGTATAACATTCAGGAAGTAACCCGAATGGTGACTGTCGCGTTCCCCTCTCACTTTATGACATCGACAACGACAGACGATTTGAGTGTGGAGCTTGGGCGATTGTTGAGGGTGGAAGAGTAAGCGAATTATGCCATTTTTCTCGTGTTTTTAGTGTTTTTTATTCTTTAGTTTTTTTAGTAGTTCTAAAATATTTTTAAATTTGTGAAACATAAGTATTTCTTTCGTTTTTTGGGGCCATTTTTTCAAACAAAAAGTCACCAATTTGAAGAAAATTCGTTACATCTTGATTTTTCGAAATTTTCTATTTTTCAGTTAATGTATATTTTTTAGTTTCTATGATCTATAGTTTCTATTTTCTAGATACTGCTCCGCCGACCAGCCCTGGATCCCGCTAAAGCACGACTTTGAATTTAACGTCAGCGGCACCATGGAGGAGAGCCTCTGGGATCCGCTGAAAATTTGTCCAAGGGTTCCGGTTAGTTTTTCACAATTTCCTTTTTGTATTTTCGCATTTTTTGCCGTTTTTTTGTTTGATTTTGCAACTGATCGGTAAGGACATATTTTCCAGATTGGTCTCAGCGCCTCCAACGACTTCGACCCGTTCGACAACCAGATGGGCGGCAGGTGCTGGGCTCGCTGGCTCGTCTACTGTGCGGACTTTTTGAGGGAAACACCGGAGATTTGGCAGTTGACACCGCAAGACAGGGTAGGTGGTTTTTAGTTTCTAAGGGTCCGGCAAGTGCATAAATCTACCGCTTCCGTGGACTAGGTCTAGACACTTTCAGGGCACGCAAAATGACGCTCACGAGCTCGCCTTGACAATTTAAGTGTGGTGGCGTTGGAGAAAGTATTAAGATGCGGGTGCATGTGTCCTTTGGCGCTTAGCGTAGTTGTCTAGACCCAGGCTTCGAGATGGGTCGATTATATCTTTTTTTTTGGTTCCTCTAGAACGAGTGGCTTCGAAAATCTCCAAATTCATGATGTCGAAATTTACAAAAGAAAAAGTTCCCAGAAAAACCCTCAGAATTCTGGCATTCTGAATTTGCCCGTTAGGAGATTTCGACATTATGAATTTTTGCATTATTATAGCAAATCCTTTAGGACTAATTTACCATACCTTCCTAGGTATATTAATGCTGTGCTGGCAGGGTTCTAGGCGCTAATGTTTTGAGAAATTTAACCAAGACCAGGGTTGAAAAGCCGGGTAAGAGTTTACTTTACCCCCCCCCACAGCCGAAGGGTCTGAAAACTTTCGGTATTTTCGCTTATTTTTTCGAGATTTTTGCAACGCCATTCGATAAAGCGTCGAAAAATATACTAAGAGTTTTAATTTAAGCCTACAGTAATGTAAAATAAAAAAGTTATAGCCAAAAACTTCCGTCTGGGGGGGTAAAGCAAACCGTAGCCAAAAGCCGCTTCGCGACTTTTCAACCTGGCCCCTACTGACCCATGAAATTCTTCACTTTCCATAATACGCCCTAACTGCGATGAAAAATAATGAGAAACGATCTCTCTGTCCCTATATATAGGTTACTGCAACTTCCGGCGTATGCTAATTTTTGCTAACAACGTGGGCGGCCGAGAATTTTACAAAAACTTAAATTTAATGTCGAAAACAGCTGAATTTTTAAAATTTCATATGTGTGCAGTCATCTCCTGACCATTACGCATCTAATGAAGTATCAAACAAACCTTAAAAACCTTCCCTTTCCGAGATATCCTCCGGACAGAATGAGGGAAGTTGCATGCAAAGTGGCACGGACACACACACAGGCACCATTTTTTTATATATTTAACCACGATCATTTTAGGGCAGTTTCTGCATCTACGCCTGCGGCATACTCGTCCCGATACAACAATTCTACCATACGTTTAAAAATGGATACTCGGGACTGCTCCAAGGCCTCGGCCTGGGGTTGAATCCGAATGACTGTGTCGAAGGGGGGTGAGTAATGGATGAATGGATGCATGCATTTTTGGCATGTACGTTTTTATGCCCGTTTTTAGCATCCCCGACTTTCTAAAAGCCACCGGCCGCGAGCTCCACGAAAAAATTTTCCCACTCCTACGTCGAGTGCGATTCACGTTTGAGGAATTCCTAATCTGGAAGATGGTCGTCATTTTTACGCCTGGACGTATGTTTTTAAACTGTTTTCTTTCGTTAAATCATTACCTATTTGACCTTTTTTAAAATTCTATTTAATGGTGCGGATATTAATACATTCACCAAAAAAATCATACTAACCTGAAAGCTATTTCCAGATTTTTCTCTGGGATTTTAGCAATTGGCCTGACTGATGACAGCCGCAACACGATACGCGTCGCACGGCAGAAGTATTTGTGGATGCTGTCGAAGGTAGCCTTCTAGTCCGAAGTCGTTGTGAAAATGCCGACAAATAAAAACGTGGAAAAAGCAAAATGCCGACAGCCGAGTATCGGTTCCGGAATAGCCGGAAATTGAAAAGGAGTTATAGTTATTGAACGGTAACGACTCAGGAGTCTCCTTTTGACCTCTGGCTTTTTTGTTGTTGTCGGCATTTCCATGTCTGTATTTTGCTTGTCGGCATTAATAATCAAGTATACCTATAATAACCAAAAATTTTTGCAACTATTTTTCCAGACAAAAATGTGCTTATTTTTAGCTTCTCCGTCAAAATCAAACGGAAAACGAGGCGATCCAAAAGATGCAGGCCCTGATGCATGTTCATCGTTGGTTTGAGGTATATCTCCAACATACCAGCAAATACCATTCTCTAACTTAAGAAAAGCAGCTTGAATTAAATAAATCCTATTATATATCAAGAAATAGTGTCTGTGTGTGTGCATTTGCATGCAACTTCCGTGAGGTTGTCTTCCATCTACGGCCTCAGGGGAAAGTTTACAGGGTACGTATGATACATCATTAGGTGCGTAATCGAGCCGAGATGAGTGCAAACACATCAAAGTTTGGAAAAATTACTGTTTTCGCTATTAAAATTTAGTTTTTTGTAAAGATATCCAAAAACGTCTTTGTTAGGAGGCAATTTGCATGCGCCGGAAGTGGGGAAAGCCTATATAAGGGGCCAGAGGCGGCTGCTCATTTTTTTGCAATCGCTTCGGGAAGAAATATGCACATTTTTGACTATGATGTGCGTTAGACGGGGCCAGGGTTGAAAAGCCGCGAAGCGGTTTTTCAACCCTGGTTACTTTTAGAAATATGCTCATCAGTCGTGCCTCTTCGGGGCCAAGTGCTTTGTGATGGGCGGAGTACAAGCCGGCATCCACGGAAGGTTGATCGGAGACTTTTGCTTTGCTCGGATTTAGAGTTTGCGTAAATTTTTTAATTTTTCACAGTTATATAATTGTATAAATTGTTTGGTGCCTCCAGTTATTATTTGACGAATTCATTAAGTCAATCGTTTCAAGTGAATTTTATTTTTAGTGACTTGATAATTTTTCTTTACCTGCAAACCTCGGCTTAATTTGCATTTAATCGATTTTCCTCCTAATTTATTTCTCTCAATCAATTGCATTTAATCACTTTTTTTAATAAATGTTTACAGCGCGAACATTTACGCCGAACCCTACAGTATTTTTTGCACAATTTAACTAAATTTCAAGGTATTTGAACAATATCTATCAAATGTTGTCGAAATTTTGAAACTACAACCTTATCTGGGTTTCCATTTTCAATATATTCGAAACCGCCTATTCAATAATATGAATAAAGTATACAAGAATAATTCTGGGGTACTCAAAGTGTACCCCGATCTTCACCAGCCACGTACTTGTCATATTTCTTGCTTTTTGGCCCTCGCGTGGTGTTATTAGAAAGAGAGAGAGAGAGATAGAAAGAGAGAGAGAGAGAGAGAGAGAGAGAAAGGGGGAGAGAGAGAGAGGAGGGGGAGAGAGAGAGCGAGAGGTAGGGAGAATTCTGGTACACCTGTGGTGACCGGATAATCCCGCAGGATTTCGCCCATCCCAGAGGGTACCTTCCATTAGGGCCAAAACCCCGAAGATTAGCCCCTAAGGAGCTTTACATTTTTTAAGGCAAATGGAAAAATTAATTTTGCCGGATTGGCCTGGGATGCCGCGATTTGATGCCCGATGTGGGGCACGTGATTTCGGTTCCCCCATAGTCTGTGGCGGCTAAACCACCCTGGGTGCACTTTTTAGAAAATTACACGTTTTCCGGTCACACCGGCATTCCGGTCAGTTATCGTGTACCTACTTGTTTAACGTTCGTTTTTTTCATAGTTCATGAAAGCTAACTCGAAATTAAAACGCCATTTTTTTGTGATCTAACCGGTTTCACAGTTTGAAATTCACAAATTCCAAAACCGGGTGCTTTGGCATTATCGGGAGGGGGGGTGGCAATTTTTTGGATGATTTCTTCTATTATAAATCGTGGAATTTTGCTGAATCGTTTTTGCCACTCCTAAACGCCAAAACTTTGTTTTTAAAAAAACACAAAAATCGTTCAAGATTTTTTTTAAATGTTTTGGCCGTTTTTCAACGCGAAAGATCCACAAGAAATTTTTGGTCGTGTATTGCCGGCGCCTATAAAGGGGGCGAAAAGCAAGGGAATCGACCGCTTTCCTCGGCTAGCTATCCACAGCTACATGTCAAGCCAAATTACGCGTGCCGGGAGATTTTTCGACGTTTTTTGGGGCATCAACAAGGCTGCATTTGAATGTGATTTTGCATCAAGTAGAGCTGTCGGGTTCTAGCCAAAAATGGTATGCATTCGCGTCTCTAACCCCTGAAAAGAAGCGAGTTTGGAAAGCGTACCCCGGCCTTGGCCGAGAATTTTACATTTTAGAAACTTTAGTAGTGATACCTGTACTCTTGGGTGGTGCTAGGACAGCTGGTACTAGCTGCAGGTGGTCTCGGAGCTAATCTCGACGCGAGTACCAAATTACCCCCTTATTTGCATCGGGTCGGCGTCCGGTCACTACCCCGAAAAGTCGCTACCCTGAAAGTCACTACCCCGAAAAGTCACTACCCCGAAATCGTTTACCCCGAAAAATGATGGCATTGTTTTTCCCCGAAAAATCCAGTTTTCATGCAGATTTCCACTGAAAATCATGCAAATTATTTCGGGGTAGTGACTTTCGGGGTAGTGAATTTACTCCCATCAGGTAGCTTCCCTGACTCACTCCTCGCCCCTCTAGAAACGTCAGATCGTGTTCCGTTTCTGACCTAAAAACGTATCATTTTTTGCCCGGCTTTTTGAATTAGTGAACGGCACCAGTTACCGAGACAAATATCTCACCTTTATTTCTTTTTAATTAATTACTGAGATTTTGCTTTTTTTTTGGTTTTTGTGGTGGTGTTTTTCCAAATTAAAATTATTTGCTCCGATTGTTTTCTACGAGCCGGGAAGATTAATTCGTTATAATACGTATTTTAATACAGTCTCTACTCGAGTTTAAATTTTGTTCAGCCGCGAAATAATCTAGCAAACTTTAAGAATTTTGAAAGTTGGAAATTCTGGTCGAAAATTGCGTCTTTTTGATCGAAAATTCCAAATTTTTCCATTTTTTTTTGTAAAAATCTGTATGGTTTTTACGTTTAAAAATAGTAAAAAATGGCTTCCTTCCTTCCTTCCAAACTTCCTACATTAATATTATTACTATTAGAAACACTAGATGCTTAAAAAAATTACGTTTGTCCTCCTCCCCCGATCCTGAGAAGAACCGGATTTTCAATGTGCTTTTTTGCTTTTATGAATTCCGTTAATTCTTAAGAAATTCAGATGGAGCCCGACGCCGAGGTAGTCGAGGTGCCAGAAGCAGAACTGCTATGTTTGGTGTGCGGAGCTGGTGGCGCAAGGCCCTACTACGGTTCAATGGCTTGCGGGTATTTTTCTTGGGCTTATCTACCGCTAGTTTGCCTTCAACGGCCCTTTAAACCTATATATCTAGAGTACCAGATACAAAAATATACATTTCTAGTCCCTGCAAGCTCTTCTTCCTTCGCGTCGCCACCAAGAAGAAGACATACAGATGTGATGTGGGCGGGGCTTGTGTTTACCGTAAGATTTCAAGGCAGCTACGGTAATTCTAGAACTTTTTTTAGCTCGAGATCGATGCCCGGCTTGTCGATATGAAAAATGCCTGAAAGCTGGACTGGTGCCGGAAAGTGGGTTCTTTTTATTAAGACGCCGAAAATCACTAAGATCTTGATGACAAACACGAAATGACTAGTTTTCAAGCATCACAAATTAAATCCGAAATACAATTCAAAACTAATCTTCAAAAATATGCACGAAAACACGCAAAAACGAGCCGAAAACCATTAGGAAAAGAAGCCAAAGATACGAGAGAGCGAGCGAGAGTGAGAGAGAGCGAGTGAGAAGATGAGTGCGAGAGAGATAGGGATAAAGAACGAGAGCGGGAGAGAGATAGCGAGAGAGAAAGATCGAGAGAGCGAGCAAGATTGAGAAGGAGAGAGAAAGGGAGAAAGAGCGGGACAGCGACAGATGAGAAAAAGTGAGAGAGAGCGAGAGAGAGAGAGAGAGAGAGAGAGAGAGAGAGAGAGAGAGAGATAGAGCAAGATAAAATCCCTTGCTTTTTCAGAAGCGGGACGTCGCGAGGGCTGCTTGCGTCGTCACAAGGAAGGAACGCTAGTTGCCCTCGATATTCCACCGCCATCTTCACCTGGACTACCATCACTAACGGCAGTACGTTATTTACGTCATTACGTGACGTTAATTAGCCCAAAAAATCTAGAATTTGAACCGGAACTTTCAAACGTTCAATCCGGAATCAGAAAAGCCGGAACCCGATGGAGTTACGAGAGACTGATTTTAGGAAGCTGCCCTTTCTGCCATTTCCTTCCCATCGACGTTCATGAAACCGGTGGCCCAGGCGGAGTTGGGCTTGGAGATCGGAAGGCTGATGCGAGTAGAAGAGTAAGTTTTGATCCCAGTGGGACGGAGAGAGAGCGAGAGAGAGCGAGGAGAAGGGAAAGAGAGATATCGTGAGAGAGAGAGAGAGAGAGAGAGAGAGAGAGAGAGAGAGGGACAGCGAGGGAGAGCGAAAGCGGAGAGAGAATAGAGAGAACGATAGAGCGAGAGAGAATTGAGAGATAACGAGAGAGAGAGAGAGAGAACGAGAGAGCGAAAGAGAGAGAGAGAGAGAGAGAGAGAGAGAGAGAGAGAGAGAGAACGAGAGAGCGAAAGAGCGAGCGAGTGAGGGTGGGGGAGCGTAGTGAGGAAGAGTGAGAGAGATGAGAGAAAGATAGAACGATATATTTTCTCTAGACTCTGCTCCGCCGATCATCCCTGGAACCCATTCTGCTACGACTTCTACTTTGATTTCACGATCACGATCGATGACTGCTTCCGGAATCCAGAAAAATTGTGTCCGCGGGTCCCAGTACGTTTTCGTACATATCTACAGTGGGTCTCTCATTTTGTTTTTTTTTAGCTCGGTCTGAGCGCCTCCAATGACTTCGATCCGTCCTCCGACCAGATGGGCGGGAGGTGTTGGGCCCGGTGGCTAGTGTACTGTATCGACTTCTTCAGGGAGACGCCCGAGATTTGGGAGCTCGAGCCGAAGGACAGGGTAAAAGGCTTAGAAACTTTTAAAAACTGAGAAACTACTTAAAAACTCCTTACCTGAAAATTATCTTTCCGCAAGGAATCACTGCTAGTCTGCCCAGACGAATTTAAAAATTTTCAAATTTAAAATTTTTAGAAAACTTTGCTTAAAAAGTCAAACTAGCACAGCGATTTCGGATAACGAGCTCTCGAAAGCTAAACATTTCCGAGCAGGGCAGACTAGCAGTGTTTCTTGGGGAGAATCTATTTTAGCGCATATTCCAAGATTAGGAGTAGGCAAGCTAAAAAAAATCCTTTGCGGAATCTCTCCGCCACAACTAATTGAACTTCTAGAACATGTTCATCATGCACGTCAGCGGCCTTGTGATCGCCATCCAGCAATCCTACTCCACCTTCCGCTCCGGAACCGAGGGGCTGCTCGTCGGGATGGGGCTGCACTTTGACCCTAGCGAGTGGGAAGTGGAAGAGGGGTACGGTAGCGTATACTCTTCACGCATAAGCCGAGCATTAAACCGTAAAAACTATACTTTAAAGAGGCTCCGAAATCTGGTCCACGGCCCCCTGCTGTGATTCCTGGCAAATAGCCAGTTGCGACCGCAACGCGACCGTGTTGCAAAGCCTTTTGCCCCTGTTTGGACGCGAAAACGCTTGACTTTAAAAATTCTGGTGCTATTTTTGGAATCTTCACCGAATTTTGATCATTCCAGACTTTTATATGAAAATTGACCAGAGAATCGCCGAGATCGAGGGATTGGGTGCCTTACAAGGCATTACGACATGGAATCGCCGCGCACTCAATATGTCGTTTTCGCCCCAAAAAGAATTCGGATTTTCTCAAGTATTTTACGTTTTTTCGCAACCAAATCACTTTTTTGGCACTTTTCGGCAGTGACCCTTGCGTTTTTTGACCCATAGGTTCGATTCCCGCACGCAAAAATTTTGACTTCTGAGCCCCTTTAAGGATCCCGGCCTTCCTGAAAAAGACGAGCATCCAGCTGCACACTGACATTTTCCCCACGCTTCGGGCAGCCCGCTTCACTCATGAAGAGTTTTTGATCTGGAAGATGATGGCTATTTTTTCGCCTGCTCGTGAGTTGATTTAAAAAAATTCTATTCTCAATAATGAAATAAAATGCATTAGTTATAAGTGCGCCGATAGGCGGCTTAAAAAATCCATATTTTGTAGCTATCGGGCTCACCGAAAGCGGAAGCAACGTGATTCGCCGGGCTCGAAACAAGTATCAAAGCATGTTGGTTCAGGTAAGAAAAGAATTTATTTTTGACCCTATAAAACCAGATCAGCTTATCAATTTCTTTTAGTTAATCCGCCAAAACTGCACCGAGGGCGAGGCCATCACCAAGATGTACGCACTAATGAAAGTGCACCGGTGGTTTGAGGTCAGTTTTTGTATCGAGTTGCCGAAATATTGCTTTTCGTTTTCAAAGACGGTTGTGATTTTTTAAATCGATATAACTAAACGCGAAAAATTTTTAATGCTAAAGATTCAGAATTTTTACCTAAATATAATGAGTTTCAAAGCGCACGTTCAGGGAGGGACCGTGTACTCGTCCCAACGTGTACACCCTATGGACGTAGGGACCGCGCGCACTGCCTGCCCGTGCTGTGACAGGCCATTCCCCTCCTTTGCAGCGTGGCGCAGCGCCTCGCCCCCTCGCCAGGTTGCAGCTGTGGCTGACTGGTATCCATCCACGCCTTCCGAGCGGGGGCCCAGGGTTCGACCCCCTGCCGCGGCAAACATCTTTGATCTTTTCCAAAAAAACGTCTCTGAACGTGCTTAATCGCGTTAAAAATAAGAATTTTTCATTCATATTTTTTAGCGAAACGCCAACCAAGCCGCAATGCTGGCCACAAAAACCTTCGTGATGGGCGGCTATGAAGTGGGCATTGCCGGGAAACTTGTCGGGGACGTCGCCTTTGCGAGGGCTTGATAAACAAATATCTGCATGAATTTATTAAAATTTGTATAAAGATTATTGCCATCAAATCTCTACTGCAACAAATAAACTTTGTATCGCCTTAGATAACGAAGAATCCTCAAGGGATCGAATTTAATTTGCTGTGGCCTTTCAATTTCGTATTTTCGTAAATTTCCCTTTCAAAAAAAGCCTTGTGTTTTGGCCCGGAAGTTACCTATTCGCACGTCTTCAGCACGTTTTTTTGGAAAATCCTTTCCCACGTGTTATTCCTGCAAAAAGTACGGATCTCCGACCTAGACAGGCTGCCGGTTTTCCGGGGTACACCTGATGACACTTCTGATTTTTTGCATTCTTCAATCTGATGTGGCAAACTGTGTCTAGTCATTGTAAAAAAAAACAAAAAAAAAACAGCGGAGAGTCTTTGAAACCCGTCATGGGGCTAATGGGTTTTGGAGCAGAATCGCGCAGTCTAATTTCCGGCCCGATTCCGGGAGTTTCATCCTCTGCCAATTTGTGCTAGAAGCAAATTTTGAAGCAAAACAATTTTTACTATTGCGAGTGATTTTTGATATGGCAGTATCATTCCAAAAAATTTTGAAAAGTCCGAAAAGAACAAATTCTGCTTTCAAAAGTCCAAAAATCTTAAAGGACTTGCAAAACCTATTTTTTTGCTAGAAATTAATCTTCTAAAAATTTGCTCAAAAACAACCACGGCCGTTTTGAGGTCCACGTAAACGATGATCAAAAACGCGAGCGAGGTAGAGAGATATATAGAGAGAGCGAGAGAGCGAGAGAGACAGAGAGCGAAAGTACGAGAGACCGAGAAGAGATCGCGAGAGAGCTGTCAAATCACGTCCACAAGTACGTTTTTGGGCTCTGTTTTCCTGTTCGTGCAGCGAGAACAGAACGCTAATACAATCTAGTTTCGCGTCGCAAACGTGCAATTTAGCTGGCAGATTTTCAGTTCACGCGGCCGTCGATCTCGTCCGCTTCTGCGGGGCGTTGCCCATTAATTAGCGGCCCCGGTGGCTAAAAGGTGTGTCCGGGAGGTGTAGGTCGTAGTTGGATTAATTGGTATTTATGGACCTTACCTAGCTATAGAGCGCGTTTCAGCTCATTGGAGAAATCAGAGTACATTTCAAGGGTCTTTTGTTTCTCTCTCTCGCTCTCTCTCTCGCTCTCACTCTCTCTCTCGCTCTCTCTCTCTCGCTCTCTCTCTCGCTCTCGCTTGCTCTCGCTTTCTCTCGCTCTCTCTCTCTCTCTCGCTCTCACTCTCGCTCTCTCTCTCTCTCTCTCTCTCTCTGTATCTTTTCTATTTCCTAAAAATCCCGGACAATTCTGGGCGCATTTTGAGTTTTTAGTGCTAAGCATCTTGAGGCTGAAATTTTCTAGACTGACTAATTCCAGGTCCCACGTCTCTCTCGGGGCTCCCGCTCCTGGAAAATTGCCGAGAAATAACGAATCACCTGCTTGGTTCGGTAGTCTCATGACTTTTCACAAAGCCAAAGCGAATTCGGGCTTTTGGGCATCAAAAACCTGAGAGTTATAGTTTTAATTAATTATAATCGATTCCCCGTCAGCATAAGAAGTTAACACTGTTGTTGTTCTTTTCTAAAAACCCGATCTAAGGCATTCGTTTTTATTATTTGAATTTATCAATTTTCGCAGCCGTTCTATTTATCATTAAATCGATTTTTGGTGTTATCCTCAATTTTTCATCAAAATTCGGTGTACTGAAGTGTGCTGTAGGGACGCCTGAAAAAGTGCAAAAACGTCATAGACTAGCTTTTTCCGCTTTTGCCCAAATCTCCCGGTAATAGGCCGGAGACCGGAGCGCGAAAAGTCTCCATTTTTGGGCGTCGGTTGCAAAAAATCGGTTCTTGTTGCACCATATAATATTATATTTGTTTTAATCGTCATTTTACGGAATTTTGATGGTTAATCCTATCAACAGCAACCCCTAGATGAATCAGCAAGGCCCCGGACCTTCCAGCCAAGTTCTGAAATGTTTGGTATGCGGCTCGACACCAGCGAGGAGATATTACGGGTCGATAGCTTGCAGGTGAGTTTCGGTAGAGTAGAATTAATGTTTTTTACATAAATAAAATATAATTAGTTGTTTAGTCCCTGCAAAACGTTTTTTCTTCGAGTAGCAACAAGAAAACTGCCGTACACTTGTGAGATGCAGGGGAGCTGCGTATACCGTAAGAAAAACTTTCTTTAAAATGATGTTATATAGAGTGCAATGAACCACCCAAACGCTGCGTATTTAGATGCTAGGAATATGACATAAAAACCAGGAAAAAGCATACAGGGTGTCCCAAAAAAAAGCACCCCTCCCGCATTTCGCCATATTACGTCCGATGGGTCCCATACTTTTCAAAAGGCTGTATCAGACCTTAAATAACCACAATCCTGAGTTATAGCCGGATCGCTACAGTAGTTTTCAAGTTATTGCCAAAATCCTATTTTTTACGCGATTCTTAACAGTTTTTTCGGCTCTTTTTGGACTTTGCATCGATTTGCATCGACTTCCGGCTGCGAATCCCTAATTTCGCTTAATATCGGGTGTGTCTTTGGGTTACAAAAATTGTTGAAATTAACGGTTATTTGATGGATTTTTATCAGGAAAAAATCTCTAAGGTTAAAGAACGCTTGCCGCTTCTTTTCACTTAATATTCGAATGGTCGATTCCTACGAAAACCTTATGAAAAACGGATAATAAAGTCTATTTTTGCTGTATCTCGAAAACTACTGTAGCTGGCGGGCTATAACTCAGGATTGTGGTTATTTAGGGTCCAATACACCTCTAGTCCAAATTTGGGACCGATCGGATGTAATATGGCGAAATGCCGGAGGGGTGCTTTTTTATGGGACACCCTGTACTTAGAAAATGAATGAAAATAAAAAATTCAGCCCGAGAACGCTGCACCGCTTGCCGATATCAAAAATGCTTGGAGGTCGGGTTGATGCCGGAAAGTAAGTGAAACTGGATTTTCAAGATATTTTCCATTCTTAAGCGATATGTCCGCTAGATTACTGTAATACACTGGTGGACATAATTATAGCCTCAGTGAAAATTTTTCGAAAATCTCTATTTCTGGCAGTGTCCATTGAAAGCGTTCTATAAGGAAAAGTAGCGGTATTCTATCACAATTTCATACCACAAACCCGTTTTGTGATTCTCTGGACAAAAATTTTTTTAGGAATATTTTCCCAAAAAAGGCACTTTGAAAAAGGGACATAATTATAGCCTCACTTGGGTAACATTTCAATAAAAAATTAAATACTCGCACAAATCAATAAGAAACAATTCCAGTAATGTTTGGCTACACCATTTCATGTAATTTGATGGGGGGAGATGCCTCTCCAAGCCAGAATACAGGCGGGTGATCGGCTTTTTGCTTGACGGGATGCGAGGTGGAGACAATCCTCTGTTACGAAGCGATACTCTTTTCTTCTGCTTAGATTTTGAATACCGGGGAGCTTTGGACATGGCCAATCACGTTACAGTCAATAAAATTACCCGCCGACGCTAAAAAACCCACTTTTAAGGGGTTGGTCCGACTCTGGGGCACATTTGGCTCGAAGAATTAAGGCTTCATCTTACTCTTAAATCGGATTCTGATCCTGATTTCGATTGGAAATGTGCTGATCCGCAGCGCAACGAGTCGCGCCAAAGCGGATGAACGCCACTGCGGAAATCGTGTTGAGTTCGCCCGTCACAGAAGATGACGGTTTTGAGGAAGATACGGTAGACTTCGGGCCCCCCAAAATTCTCCAGATCATTGTTTCCAATGGTTAGAGGCTCTCGCGTAGCCATCCATAAAAGTTTCGCTTTGTATTGCGCAGAAAAAAACCGATTTGGCCGAAAAAAATTTCAAAGCGTTGCTGTGCCCGTTTGGAAGATGAGTTCTTCACGAGCAGGAAGGAAATGATGCTTGACCTTGACTTAAAGGAACGTGTCAATAATTTCCAATTGTTCAACTCAAGAAACAGCACATTTCCAATCAAAATCAGGATCAGAATCCGATTTAAGAGTAAGATGAAGCCTTAATTCTTCGAGCCAAATGTGCCCCAGAGTCGGACCAACCCCTTAAAAGTGGGTTTTTTAGCGTCGGCGGGTAATTTTATTGACTGTAACGTGATTGGCCATGTCCAAAGCTCCCCGGTATTCAAAATCTAAGCAGAAGAAAAGAGTATCGCTTCGTAACAGAGGATTGTCTCCACCTCGCATCCCGTCAAGCAAAAAGCCGATCACCCGCCTGTATTCTGGCTTGGAGAGGCATCTCCCCCCCATCAAATTACATGAAATGGTGTAGCCAAACATTACTGGAATTGTTTCTTATTGATTTGTGCGAGTATTTAATTTTTTATTGAAATGTTACCCAAGTGAGGCTATAATTATGTCCCTTTTTCAAAGTGCCTTTTTTGGGAAAATATTCCTAAAAAAATTTTTGTCCAGAGAATCACAAAACGGGTTTGTGGTATGAAATTGTGATAGAATACCGCTACTTTTCCTTATAGAACGCTTTCAATGGACACTGCCAGAAATAGAGATTTTCGAAAAATTTTCACTGAGGCTATAATTATGTCCACCAGTGTACTAGCTTGTTTTAGAAGCCGGTCGCCGAGAGGGGTGTATGCGCAGGATCCAGGAAGGCACTTTTTCACACGCCCCACAACCAGCTTCACCGGGACTTCCTTGCTTGATTGAGGTAGGAAAAGGAAAATAAAATACCAATAAATAAAAGGGAACTAACTTAGGTAGTTTAAATTAGAGTAATTAAGTTGTTAATTAAGTTCTCCTCAGCTGTAGAAAACAAAAAGGAGCTCCAAACGAGCTAAAGGCGGGTAGGTAAGCTAGAAGCAGTACGGTAAACTTTTAGAAACCTAGAAAAGTTTTGGCAACGCTGCACTTTAGCTTTAAAGTTAAATTTCTTTTAAACAGTATCGTTATTTTTATCGTTTTTTTAGGAAGTCCGACGAGTCCAGTCCATTGCCTACCC